TTTTTTTTTGAGAATCCACAGATACTCATTAAAAATATTGTACTCGCATAGATAATTGAATTGCCCTTTATAATTTTTATCGAATCAATTTGCAGCATGAAAGTGATGGTCAAGAATATGTGACAGAAGTGAACGACTCTATATACGATTTTTTCGATTCTGAAGACGAAGACGACAGTCTTGAAATAAATAAAGTCAAATCATTCAAAGAATTACTCAATTCAAAGGGATTTTCTGAAAAAATATCTACTCCTGTTGCTGTTAGTCCTAGTGAGTTATTATTGATGGTATTGAAATTTTGCAAAAGTCTTCATTTACCAACGACAGGGATGTCGAAGGCTCTTGCATTAATCAATACAATATTTGAAAAACCAATATTACCACAATCAAAATACAAATTGGACCAAATTTTTAATGAAGAAACTAATGTTGAGTTTCATGCAGTGTGCCCAAGTTGTACTGGATATATAAGTGAATCAAAAGACCTTGAAAGAGAGGTAATGTGCACAATATGCAACAAAACTGTTGATTTATCAAGTCCATCGTGTGAAAATCTATTCCTAATAATTGATCCGTCGATTGCCATATCAGAATTATTGGAAGCTCACCAAGATTATTATGATTACGTCGTTAATGAAAGGCAATCTCCCGTTGATTGCATTAACGATATCTACGATGGGAAAAAATATCGAGAATTCATTGATTCTTTACCAGATGAGGAAAAACATAGATATGTATCGATGACTTTCAATACCGATGGAGCTTCTCCTTTTAAATCTGCGCCTTCTTCGGTATGGCCGATTTATCTCATGGTGAATGAGATTCCACCTCAAGATCGACTCAATAGTCTAATTCCTTGTGGATTGTGGTTCAATAGAAAAAAGCCAAATATGATGGTATTTCTGGATCCTTTTGTCGACATGATGAACAACAAAATCAGCCAAGGAATTAAGTGCACAATAAAAGGGGAGGAGCGTACAATCAAAGGTTACACTTTGGTCGGTTGCGTAGACACAGTCGCAAGAGCGCCTATGCAGGGTATCAAACAATTTAATGGTAAATTCGGTTGTAACTGGTGTTTGCACCCAGGTAAATGGGCTGGTAGTATGAAGTACCCTGTGTACGCCGATGGTGTTCCAAATGATATTCCAGCTAGAGACGCTAAAAGTACTATTGAGTACATGTTGAAATCTACAGAAGATGGATACAAACCTGAGTATGGAATAAAAAATCCGTCTCCGTTGATCTATTTATATTTCTTCAATATAATATTTGGATTTGTTGCAGAATATATGCATAATAGTTTATCAGGAGTAGGTCAACAGATAACAAATCTTATTTTAAAGGATGAAGACGTAGCAATCATAGAGGCACTTCTGAAAAAAGTAAAATTTCCTTATCAAATTTCTCGGTTGTCAAGGCCAATAGATGATTCGAAATTTTGGAAGTAAAGAATGGGAAAATTGGATATTGTACACCAGCACACCTTTACTTGCATTAATATTACCACCTACCTTATTGGAGTACTGGACGCTGTTCGTTTCAGCTTTGCATATATTGCTACGAACCAAAATTAGTCTTGCAGACATTGAAAAAGCAGACGAAATGTTACACGAATTTGTCTATAAAACTCAGGAATATTTTGGCATTTCTGCTATGACTTCAAATATTCACGCACTACTACATCTTTCACAAAGTGTTCTCGATTGGGGTCCTCTCTGGTCTCACTCAGCATTTGCTTTCGAATCGGGAAACCACGACATGCTGCAAGCTATCCACTGTGCACGAGGGGTAAATACACAGATTCTACGATATATCAATGTCAATCGTAGCACATTGATTTTAGAAAAAAAAATTTTTCCTAATGTATCGGAAGCAGTAAAATCATATCTAACAAGCACTCTGAAATTGCGAGCTAAAAAGAGCGTCAAAATTAATGAGATAACGTACTTTGGAAAAGGTTTCCCTCTAACAAAAGAAATGTGTGAAAATTATGGGCTTTCAAGCAAAAGCAAATTTTATAAGCGAATGGTAAAAAACGGTTGTTTGTACTCGTCGTGTTTGAAGGTGAATCGCCGCTCAGATAATTCCTTTGCTCAATTAAACGATGGAAGGTTTATCAAGATGGATAAATTTATTGTGGATTTTGATAGCAGTGAGGAGCATACTCTCTGTAACGTGATAAACACCACTCACCATTATACAAGTCAACACTATGATGTGCTACGTAAAATCACTCACGTTGACGAAACACTCTGCATGATCAAAACAAATGATGTGAAAACTATTTGTGTTTTTATTGAAACTTTCGATACGAATTATATTTGTCCATTACCCAATTTGTTATTTTATTAATTGAAGTCCAATAGTTCTGTTAGTAAATATCTAATTACATTAAAATTTTTATTTTTGTAAGTTCCATCGGATCAAGTTGAAGATAATATACAATGTATATGCGTCAACACTTTTCTGAATGTTTAAAAATGTTAGCCTTGATTGCTTATAATGAATCTTCTGATTTTTAATGGAAATGTTTGAATGGAAATGTATGCATATATACAGAGTGTTGTACGCTCTCATCTATTATTTTCTTGATCGCATCGTGTACATTTCCATCTTTATGCGTCTTAATAATGTAGCAATATCAATGTTTATGATTTTTCTTATCATAAAATAGTCTAGTAACTGTTACTGCGTATAATAATTGAAAATGTATTTATTTGTTACATAATTTTTTCTAGTTTGAATTTGAGCTAATAAACAAAGTTTGAATTGTTGCCAATGAACTCCTGAGTTTATAATTCCTGTAGACTTTTGCATGAAAATATCTTAACTATACAATACATGGTGAAATAAATCACTGTCAATTCATTCGTCACTATTATGAAATAAGTACAATGCAAACGCATATGATCATTATTCCCGGAGGTAGAGTATGAAAGTGCATATTCATTTTTTTTTATAAAATAGTCAACAAGATCTTACGTAAGTTCTTATGTAAGAACTTGTCACCCATTAAGTAAAATAAAATAGTCGGCCAGTTCTTACGCAAGTTCTTACCCGAGTTCTTGCGTAAGAACTTATCGTATATGGTAATGGGATAAATCGAAAAACACTTGCAAGTCCTTGACCAAGTACTTGCATAAGTTCTTATGTGGTTTCTTATACAATTTCTTACCCAAGTTCTTGCCCAAGATCTTGCTAACTAATTTTCAGGAGGGTAAGGAATGTTAATAGTTAATATCAATTTTGTATTAGCAATCATCCATTAATAATTTGATTTTCTGTTGGTAGAATTAAAAGCCATGTTAAGTTCATTAAATATGAATGGGATTTGGAATTCGTTATAAAGCACACTACTGAATTCGAGGGTCTCCTCCAGATTTATGATTTCACTGTCATTATTCGATGTGGTCGTAGCTGGGCAGTATTTATGATAGTAATTTTTCATATAATTGATTTTTTCAGGCCCCGGTCCCATAGTTACGTATGAATGCGGACGGATACGGACGCGAATCGCAACTCTAGTAACATCATTAAAAATATCTAGTTCGATTATTTAGTACCAACACTACCGGTAGTGAGCAAAAGTGACTGTTGTTTAAAACTGTAGTGCCGAACGTACCACATTTAATGAACGCCTATCTAACCTTTACATTATTGCAGTCTATAAGGTGGCAAATGATAGAGAATTGATAGACTTTCAACTACAATTAGTGAGATTAGGCCTTAATTTTATGGAAGTATTTGAATATAAGAAAAGAAGAAGAAAATATATATAAATGATATGTATTAATCATCCCAAAAGCTTTTTTTACATTAGCATACTCATCAATAAGCAATATTCATGAAAATTTGAAAAGTAAATTGTAGACCTGACATTTGAACATTAAATGTAGTACATTCGGCACTACAGTTTTAAACAACAGTTACTTTTGCTCACTACCGGTAGTGTTGGTACTAAATAATCGAACTAGATATTTTTAGTGATGTTACTAGAGTTGCGATTCGCGTCCGTATCCGTCCGCATTTATACGTAACATAGCTATAGGACCGGGGTCTCAATCCTAATAGCGGGCACTTGATTTTCTCAACGGTTTCTTATGTAAAAAATGACAAGGAACACGATGGTGCAAAAATTAAAAAAAAATATCGTTTTTTGAGATATCGTCGATTTTTTGAAAAAATTGTTTATAACAATGACATAAATAAATGATTTGATATTTTAAAAGTAAAACTCTTTCCACATCTTTTAAAAAAAGAATCATGTCCATATCTTTATCAGTCTCCGAGAAATCGAATTAATAAAAAAAAGTCCAATATTTTTTCAACAGTTGATAAGTCGGCCCCTTATCAATATTTTGATCTAAAACTCTGCACAGATGTTAACCTCTGTATAGGTAACAAGTCTACCAACTTTGAACAAAATTGGTGATTTGATGTTTTAAACTGTTTGAAATAGCCAAGAATTGCTCTTAATAAGAAAACAAAAATTTGATCATTCATATACACTAAAATAAAAACCATTTAAATCTTCGCGCTTTTTGAACGCTCAACCAATTACGTCGCTGGATGTCGGCAATGAAATCATGTCCATAATTTTTTTAAGGAAGGAATTCATACACTAAAATAAAAACCATTATATTTGCGTATTTACGATAATTTTTTTGTTTATATTATCTTAGCTGGACATTATTTTATAAAACTTAAATTATTAAAATAAATAAGGATGAATAAGAAAATATTTTTCATGCAATGAATTTTTTATGTAAATAATTGTAGAAGCTGTTGTAGTGTTAATATTCATCATTTTTCTTACTAAATTTTAAAGATCTGTGATTATTTTATGCATAACAGTTAAATATAAATTTTTTGCACATCTCAAGTGTCATTCAGGTATCAAATTATATAAGAAAAATAGTAACTGTACACAAAATTATAAATATAAAAACTTTATTATATCTAAGAAAATATTTACAATTAAAACACAAATCACTGACTTATCCAAACAATGATTTGAGAAACTCAGTTCTATCTTCATTTTGAGGCTCATTTTTTCTCTTTTTAATCTCCATATCAGTTTCTCTTTGTTTAATTTCTGGTATAACAAAATTTGAAGATTCTCCTTTTTCAAATCTCGCTTTTAATTTTTTGCTTCTGTCCATATTAGCAGAAAGGAAATTGGTTTCTCTTTTTGCTTGGGCAATTTCAGTCCTTACCCTTTGTTTATGGACAGCACGTTCATAACCCAACCTTTCACTAAGATGAGTCCATTTAAATCTGCAATATATTGATTTAAATGTTTAATAGCTCACTTGATTTCTATAAATGATTTATCAATTTATTGTAGAATAAAAATTAATAAATTGAGTAGATACATAAAAAGCTTATATACATTATATAATCATATCTAGTCTGGTTACAACAAAATGTTTTCTTTTACTTGTTTGTTATAATGTTAACAATCATGATTATTATAGTACAAGATCAAATAAAAATAAAAAACAATTACAATCTTAAAAAATAACTTTTAAATTCATGCTTTATATACAATATAAATTTGTCATTAAATCTACCCTAGATATAAATTTAATAAATCTATTCCTAATGAATACTGACATCATTATCATAGTCAATAAATAGATTAAATATACTACTAGTCAGCCAGATACTAATAGTTGACCATGTCCTTTTTAGCTCTAATAATTAAGAATTAAATGCTTTATGAATTAACAAAAAATATTTTTCGTTTCCGATACTGCTGACCAATTAGTAATTTCACAACCTTGCTAATTACTAGAACATCTGGCCAACTATTAATGATATGTACATTTTCCTTCTAAATTTAAATTTTTCTTTCTGCAGTGAATAGAATTGAAAACAAAAATATTTGAAAGATAAAATATTATTGTGATTTTCTAATCTCTAGTTTTATTTTAATCTGTTCAAACATTTTAAAATTAATTTATGACTGAAATAATAATTAATGTTCTTAATTTATAGAAATATCACCTTAATAATTTAAACTGAATTAATTTAAATTGGAATATCACTTTAAGGTGGTAGACTAGTAGTACCTTTACTCTATTTTTGATATTCAAACTCACCTGGGTAAATATTTGATATTCCAAATAACATCGTAAAATCTACTTTTCTTCCTAGTAGAAACCTGTTTATTATTTAAGGTTTCAGCAACAAACTTGGCTACCTTTTTGCTTTCGAATTCCACCCATCCTTCCGTAAAATGCTTTGCTGGCATTTTCCTCTTTTTCTTTTTTACTTTATTCTTATTATCATCATGCTCTAAAATAATATTTCAATATTCATAAGTAGTTATATTCAAGTTGATTGATTAGGAGTTGCATAAAGAAATAAAAATTATCTGACCATTATCAGCTAATTGCAAGTAAACTCGACCGACTTCTCCGTACGCAGAAAAAATTTCTCGAATTTTCGTGACATTCATATATCTTGGTATGGTAGATAAATAAATGATGCCTCGTTTTTTCTTCTTTACCAACTTTTCTTCCATTTTCAATGTGAGCACGTGGAGTCTGTGGAGTGTAGCGTCGTCGTGACAGAGTATTGGCGTAAATTCACTGTTGTGTAATGAAAGGAGAGTAAAGAATATGTATTTGGCTACACATTTACAGTTCTCTCATAGGTACACAGACACATGCGTATATCATATTCACAAACACAACTTCATAGCTTTACTTGCTTGTGAGTTGCGATATGCGCGCCACTGTGCACCGGCAGGGAACCCTGAGCCCTGTTTGACCCCCCCCGTTCCAGCCTGCACAATTTCTGAAAAATCGTGGGAAAAAATCAAAATTGATAGATTTTCATTTGCCCAATTCAAATATGCAATTGGATTTATTTGCCCACCACGTGTTCATTAAATAAAAATTATTAACTACCAATGACTATTCAACCAGCTCTCGAACCAACTCTATTTCATTTATTAACGAATATATTGATCTCACCAAAATTGTAAATAATTGCCCACGAACTAATTTAATTTGCCCAGCTGAAAAAGATCGTCAACAATAATTCCTTTCTTTTCTTTAATAATTTAAACTATTACTGGAGAGGTTTCACGATTGTGCGTCTACTGCGCATGCGCCGACAACGGAGCGGCCGCCCGCTCGCGCTCATGATGACGTCGCGGATATATTCTCCATGCTCTACCTACAGTTGAAAATGCTATCTCATCACGACTACATCTTTCGGTAATTATTTATTTATCAAGTTGATCTTTATAACATACTGTACTTAGTTCACTTACACATGCCAGTACAGATTTCACAGCTTTACAAAAATATTTGTGTCTACTTTCATATTTTCAGCAGCAGAGCAGAGGCGTTTGGAGTTTTGTTTTGGGGTTTTTCCCCATTTTCATTTTGGAGCAAGAAAATGACGCCGCAACTTTTACAAACCATGAAATTATAAGTTGCATTTTATTTCAAACTATTTTCATTTTACAGCTTACTGATTTAAACATTACAATATTTGTGTCCACGTTAGAATTTATCTACTTCATAAGTAAAACGATGAAACAAAATGAAAGTTTACAAACTCAGCTATTTTTACTGACTAACTTAACCTACTTTAAAAGCAAAAATGGTAAATAAAACACTTCGTGAGTTCACCAACTCAGCTGTTTCTATTAATTAACTAAATGTTTGTGTTGGTGGTTCTATTACTAATTTATGTTTTTCATAGGTATACTCCAAATAAATGCAAATGCAACTAAAGTGGAGTTAGGTGTATGCTTTTTGCATAAAATAAGCTGCTCATCTTGATTGGCGGTGTGTTAACAGGTAAAATTTTTTTGTATGTTACTACATCATTCCTTTCGATCCAGTTAGTGTTAGTTAAGCAATAAGCTATATAGTGACCAACACCGTTTTCAATCAAAGGTGGTATGAACTTGACTATTCCACATAACACAAAGGTGTTATTTTTTACTGTAATGGTTCGAGGCACAATACGTATATCAGTAGCAAACTTTTCTGATTCTATTTGTAGTTCGTCTTTGGCATATGTGCTAGCTCGATATGCCTCATCAGTATCTATCCATAAATATGGCCCCATAGTATATGTAATAAATAAGTTCAATGTTGTACACTTCTTGCAATTCAAAATTTTGTCTTGGAAAAACATGTTTAATTCTTGCTCTAAACTTTGGTAGTTATCTACCCATGCAATACGTAAGTCTGGCAAAAAAGTTATTATTTTTTTAAGATCTTCTTTGAAACCACAGTTGTTGCAACTCAACTTTTCAAGTGTACAGTCATAGTTAATCATTAATGTTTGAAACAACTGAGTAATATTGGTGTTGCACTCAATATGACTGGTGTTTGTATGGAAAATAGAGTAGAGAATGTGGGCACGGTTGGTGTAGAATATGCTAGCTACTCCCGTTAAAGAATAATCATACACTGTGTTGGCGTAACACAAGTATTGATTCGATTTCCTGTCATCAATACTTTTTTTAATAAAATCCTTGAAATCTATTACTTTAAAACAAGTACTACTTAATATTTCAGTGATTGTATCAAAGGCACAAGTATTTGATAATGTGATTCTGTCATTTTTCATACGCTTTCCTGGCTGCTTAGACCCATTGACAAGATTTCTTTTGCTTGCGCTATTTGAACGAGTGTGATGTTTTTGTTGCAGGTGCAGAGCAATATCAGGACAAGGCCGAACATGTATTCCTCGAATCTTTGGAGCTGAGACGTTGGCAACAGGTACGGTAGCAATTTCTAATTGTTCATCGATTATTAATGAAGATTGCTGGACTATATCATTTTTAAATTTGGCATATTTATGGTCCTGAAGTGAATGATCTAACTCCTGTACATTTAAACTGTCATTGTTATTCACAACTGATAATTCTATAATTTGGTCTGTATTTGGTAATTGTGCATCTGGAAATTGAAAAATGTATATTTTATGTTACCTATATAACAAAGTACAATACTTTAACTATAATTTGATAATTATACCTGAAAGATTTGATGCAGCAGTTTCGTTAAAAATATCGTCTTCATCAATGAGCAATTTATTGCACTTATTTCTCCATTTTTCTACTACTAGAAGATGTTCTTTATCATATTCCTCTATATTCTCATTAGACTTAATTTGCTTCTTATCTTTGATTATTCTATTTATTGCAGCTCTGGCCAGTAATATGTCAGAATGAATTTGCCGGCAATGCTTTACTAAGAACTTGTCAACCCTCATCACTGTGTTTTCCATTGAAGCCTTTATGTCGCCAATACATGCCTCAGCTCTAGCTGAGATTGCTACATCATGGGGATTATTGAAAAACTGTTGCATTACATTTGTCCAGCAAACAAAATCTTTGGCTAAATCTATCAATCTATTAGCAAAATCAGGTAAAAAATAATCATTCTTTTGAATTCCTAACGATAAGTCTAAATCACCGTCCTTCTTGACTTTAGATAATGATTGATTCTTGATGATCTGAATGTATGTATATGTCAATGTCCATTTTTCATTACTTTTTTTGGAATTTTTACTGTGTTCTTCTTCATAACTATTTTTAATTTCACTCGGTTTTATTGTAGTGGAAGTATTCAAATCGAATTCATAAGTTGCAACTAATTTTGTTATATATTTCATAGCTTGTTGACATGTGTTATCAAAAAATGGACTATATGCAACAATAAAAACACATTTTATTACTTTTTCAAAGTGATGCAACTGAGAAATTGTGGATATATACCCAATGCATTTCACAAAAAGTTTTTTAACTTGGGGATTGTCTTTGGGGTAGCAGGGCCATTCGGCCGCTGCATGCATAAGATGAGCAATATCAATCCTTATCTGTGTACACAATTTCAAGAACATTGACTCTCCAAATATAATTAATAGGCAAGCATCTTTGTATGTCTTGAATGTGATATTGTTAAAAGCTAAGCAAGAACCATTCTGAATAGCTTTTCCCCTATCCATATTAAGTTCTCTAGGGGCCTTTCCTCCAGATTGTATCCACGTTTGTAGCCAATTTACATAAAAAATCGTGTCATTCTTTTCAGATAGAGCTTGTGCAATTGGTACTATTTGATCTCCTATATGAGTGCACATTATGGATAAAAAAATGTCACTGGAATCTCCGTCAGGTCTATTGATTTTCAATGCTATCGATGATGTTGCATCAAGGGCCACTGCATTTCCCAACTCGTTCGCGATATCATTGTAAACACTTATTTGGGAAGGTGACCAGTAAGTCAAGCAGAAGTAGTCGTATCCAATGAATCTGATGTAATGATTAAATTCTACATTATTTTTTATTGCAGATATGGAGTTAAATAAAGGTACGCCACGCACAATTCCCAGCTCTGCGTTTTTGGCATCTTGTCTAGCGTTTTGAAGCTGTTTCAATGAAAATAAATCGGCAGGTTCTGGATCTCCATCTTTCATGCGGTTGCTCGCTTCATTTCTTCTCCATTCTTTGGGTTTTTCTTTCAGAAGTTTTTCTCCGATGATAGATTTAGCTAATTTCTGTAATCTTATTTTCTTCGTATGAACAGTGCGTGAAGTATCGGTAGTGATAACGTTGAATTTTACATCAACGTCATTACCGACGACTTCGTGGCATACCAAGATTATTCTTGCTTGGCATTCAGCTTCTGTGCAATGCCCTTCGATCTTAATATAAGCACTATCACTGCCAACGTAGTGTCGGTCGAAGCTGTACGCACAAGGCAGTTTTTGGGAATGCCAGATGCATCTTCTCATTACATCTGCCCAACCTTCTTGCAACACACTAGTTGAACGACCACTCTTGTATACTATACTTTTAGGGCTGATTAATGACCATTCATCACGTAGAATTATGATTTCAAATTTTAGATTTGATTTTTTAACGTTGCCATTTGATGGTAATATTTTTGTGTCATCAAGATCTGCTTCATGATTACTGACATGGAAATCAACGTTTTCTACTTCATCTGTTATACCTACAATGATTTCTAAACCTTTTTGATCATTATAAAATGTTCTAATCCCGTGTCTATTTTGCTGTACCATTTTGAACAGATTGAGAGGTTTGATTTTACTTCCAAAGAAATTGCAAATATTTACCCAAACTGGGTCATATCTACTTTTCAGTGTGTAGTCGGAGTTGTAGATTATTTCTGTTACAATTTTTTTTTTTACTTCTTCATGTGGAACAGCTGGCTTACGTCCTGGCATTTTGTTAGTAATTAATATTTTCTCTATAGACATGTTATGAAGAAATGAATATTAATAGAATTATATCATTTAATTAATTATACTAGTTGAAATTCTTAACTCACATGAATATATAATAATTTTTAAAGCATGAAATTTCTTGAGCTCTTCCGTTATGCAGTGCTATTGCATGTTTAAAGATAACTTCCATCTCTTCAACTAGGTAAAATATTATATCAATTAGGTGTTCAATGAATTTTACAATCGAATAAAATTAATGGTGATTGATCTTACCATTTAAACCTTCAATTCCTTCGTTGCCCAAACCTAACCATGACAAAAATATACAACTCGAAAAAATATTATATGGTATGACATTAGAATATTTTATTTCTCTTTCTTCACAGTCAAATTTGATGTTCGATGCAATTCTCTCTATAATTAGTTTATCCTTTCCTTGTTGTCTCTCACGTTGTGAAAAAAATTCCAGTGCCTCGTAATACTGATTTATTACGTTCATGATGTTCTATTGCGATTTATATATAAATATTATAATATTTAATTCCATTTTCAGGTACAAAAACAAACAAAGCCGACAAAATTGATGAACTGTTGAAGAATGACCGGAAATGAGCAACGACGACGGAAACCGTTGGAAAGCTTTTGACTCATAATGACGAGCATGGTATTTCCATTGGTTCTTTCCAACGACAGCGGCAAATTTTGGAAATTCAAACGTACGGATTGAAAAGAAATCTAAATTAACGTTGAGAAAATTATTGTACGACCACAATTATTTTCTGATCTCATTTACTTAGTACTCTCAAATGATATATTTTGTATATGTAACGCAGTATGAAAAAAAAGCAGACTACAAATAAAATTAACCATCTTGAAAACTTAGTTTCCGTTATATTTCATTTACTTTAATTCAATTGATTTTATGCAACAAGACTTGTACATCCACAGCTATAAGATTAAAATAAAAATGAACAAGGTATAAAAAAAATATTGGGTCGCTGTATGATTAATAGAACCATTCTACCGTTCAAAATGGGTTTGAAAACGTATGTATGTATGTATACATAAATGTTGTTTTATTCATTTTTGTGTATATATTTTTGTTCTATCACTCAAATTGTAAGCCAAATAATTTCAGTAACTAACAATCAGTGTCCGAGTAGGTATGGAATTTGAATTGTAGAGAAAACCCCGCTGACGCTGCGTTGCGCATGCGCGTTCAAGCTAGGTATGCGAGAATAGTTTATAATAGCTTTCAACAAATTACTATCCATTTTTGATAATGGTTCTCAACTGGGCAAATTGAATTGGTCTGTGGGCAATTATTTACCACTTTGGATGGATTAATTTATTCATTAATAAATAAAATACAGCTGTTCGAATATTTATAGGTAATTAATAATTTTTATTTAATGAACATGTTGTGGGCAAATAAATCCATTTACATATTTGAATTGGGCAAATGAAAATCTATCGATTTTGATTTTTCCCCATAATTTTTTGGAAATTGTGCTGGCTGGAACGGGGGAGGTCCCTGTTTGTTGCTTCTCACAACCACAATCTCATCGCTCATGAACGTAGCACGATGTACACATAGACAAAGGTTCCGTCAAGTGAAGGCAAGCAGCAGCGCATAGTATCGCGTGTGCGGTGTATCGATGTGTGTGTATGCATTCGCCGCGATTACGAGCGGCGACGTTTTCGTCTCAGTGACGGGGTGGAAAAAAGCGCGCGCGTTCCTTCCGCGATGTTGCCCGCGGCCGTACTTGGTGATGAGCTACGCCCCTAAGCTCGCCACCGTACACGATAGCAGTGACGAGTGCGTCTCTTTTTGTGTAAAATACTTTGTTTGTGGAAGCTTTACTTGAGCTCCCTGGTAACCTGCACGTTCTTCCTAAGGCAGATCATCTCTACGGCACAGTGTTAACAAGATGGCGGTCGACCGCATCCACTCTCGGGTCATATAGCTTGTTTATTTTGCCGAGTTTTTCACCGGAATCCCACAGCTCGATCGCTCTGCCCAGAAAACGTAGCCTCGTTTGTTCGCGTAGCCAAGCCGAACATTTAAACTGCACGTTCCAGTGAATAAGATAGTCACGTGCTAACACAGTGCGAACGACTGCAGCTTCGGCGGGATATTTTACGCGGGAACACAGCAAGCAAGTCTAAGCAGTAAGCACAGTTGATCTACCTAGCCGAGAACACAACTCATGCTGGCACAGTAAAATATAGGCCACAGCTTCGATAGTCTTCCTTCCCATCACTATTAAGCCTTCCTGGCCTATACATTGCAGAACGTACATTTAATCTGTATTTTCTGCTTCTTGTTTATCTTGATTACATTACCGTTTGATCAACTTCACTGGCGATAAGTCCTCCAAATCAAACTCAGCTGTTTGTAAGAAAATCCTTTTACTTTACTACCACTACCTATATATAGTACCACAATTACCTTATATTTTGTCAAATGAGTTTATTCTTAAAATTAACTGGACTGACTGTGTATTTGTACTTATTAGGTGGAAGTAATGTAAATATTTCCATTGTGTACTGCGTACTTGAAAAAACTGAAGATAGGAAGTTCTATAGTTACATTTCATGAGAAACAATTTGTAACATGTTTTCCATCTTTTTAAAGCGTGGGTACTGAATTTTTGTTGGAAATCTAAGTCAGTAATGACGATGTACATCTGATCAAAAGTGAGTATTTTTAGTATTAGCATTTATAACTGTTTTCAATATAAGTAGACAAATGTTCGATCTTCTGTTGTGTATGAATTGAACATAAACTAATTTTTTTAATTTATGTAGTTGCACAATAAAAATACAAATTTTAAATCATACATTGCCTATTATACTTTTTAGTGCTAATTTAATAGTATAAGAAAATTCAATTGTATTAAAGTATTCTTGTAATAAACTACTAGATAACATTGAGTTTTTTTCAATAAAATATTTTCATTTAATTATATAAGTTAGACCATGTATTTTTGAAATATATAATTTTAAATTCAATCAGAAATCAACATGCAAATAAAAGATTTAGTTTAATTTAAACTGTCGTTTTTATTTAAAAAAATATCTTACTTGCATATAAAGATTAGATTTTCAATCAAAGGCAAGAAATAGTAGGTATATATTTTGTTTAATAAATAAGAATTGGAAAAATATTTTGATAAATATTTTTATAAATTTTATTTCATTTTTTGATTGATTAATTGGAATGCATAACAAGCAAATTAAGACATTTTATGAACTTATTCAATACACTTTTGAAAACAAATAGAAATTAGTTGAACCTTTTTATTATTCTATTAGATTAGATTGCACATAGCCTAAAATTTGTATAAGTGGTTTCAATACCATTATCAGTGGATTGTGGATTCAAGTTTTCCAATGGTCGAATTTTATAATGTTGATTTTACCGATTGAAAAATCAGCTCTAGATATCGGCTTGATTACGTTTTGGCGGCTGTTTGATAATAATTTATTGCCATAATGTTAAAATATCTGACAAAAAATTATGTAATAATGCCTATTAATATTGTTATTCTTTATTCATATTTAAATTATTGAAATTATGAATAACATACGCTGTAACATATGAATGTATGTATGTGCGTAAGTGTGTGTGTGTGCGCGCGCGCGCGCGCCCGTGTGTGTGTATAACCATAAATAAAATGGGATTAATTAATAACCTAGAATTCAATTGAATATTGTATATTATTTGCAGAACAATCATGTCTAGTTCATTTGTTGTTGAACCCCAAGAGGGTAGTTCTAAAAAAGATGATACTCTTATTTTGATGGTGAATGACAATGGTGTAATTTCTGTAGATCAAGATACTTTGCAAAGTCTCATTCGTAAGTATTTATTTCTGATTTAGTGAATAGTACTATGTTCTGAGATATTCGTAATAGTGCATGTATTGTTTTCAAATTACAGACTTGTTTTTCACTTTTTTAAATAAAATAAGCAGTTATATGTGATAAAAATTTGAATTTTCATACATATTTAAAATCGTTTAGAATCTAGAAATAAGAGCATTTATTTTCAGAAAAATTTTGATAATTTACACATTGATCATTGAAAAGAAAATTATTTACAGTTAACCAATCTAATGCTGCAGTAAGTGTTGTGAGGTTAGGTCAAACAGGCAATGATGCTTCAGAAGGAAATATAACTTTGACGGTTGATCCTCCTTCCTTTGTTACATCTGGAACAAGTGTTTCAAATAACCCTGATTCAACTGCATTAGTTGATCCTTTCATGGAAATGGATCCAGAATCATTAGAAAGATTAGAAACAGCATTACAAAGTGAAGAAGCTAAACAAATTCTTGGTGAGAATGTAACAGCTATGCTCGGTAATTATTTTTAACTCTCTGACGTAATGTACTGTAAATAATAGATATAATGTACTGTAAATAAAACAAACATTTATTTTCAGATATGTTAACAGTAGAAGAACAACAAAATAATTTACGATATAGTATAGAACTAGATCATTGCTATACTAGTAGGTCGTCTCTTACACAATCAAAAGCTACAGAATCTTTGCCTGATATAAATTTATCAGACGTGGATGAATCAGCATGTGTAGATGTTAATAAATCTACTAATGCATCTCAGATGATATCATTATCTTCCAGTAATAATAATGTTACAACTGTATTAGCCAAGCAAAAGGTAACACCAACACCACCAAAAATAGTGAAACAACCTGGTCCGGTTGGTGGTAGACCACGAAGATCTTCCGATGCAATCCAACAAGTTGTGTCTCCAAAAACATCTATGAATACAAATACACGCATGTTGAATATGCAACAGGAAAAACTTAATACTAAAGATGAAGAAGTAGGAGGTGGTGATGAAATTTTTTCATCAACGGATTCTTCCGCATCCGAAGAAACTGATAGCGATAGTGATTTCGGTCCTAGATCTTCTAGACGTGGAGTACGATCTAGAGGAGGACGAAAAGGACTCACAACAAGAGGAGGAAGCATGACTGCTTCACGTAGACGAGGATCTAACAAATACATGGACAGTGAACAAGTACGTCGTTTGGATATTGAAATGGCTGCTGCTGTTAGTGCAATGAAAAGCCGAGAGAAAGAGGATAAATCAGAAAAACATAGCCCTGGTAGGATTAAAAAACTTTCAAAAACATTTGGTGTTAAAAAGAAAGAAGTCTCTCCTACTGTTACTTCGGTTAATGAGCCATCACACATAGAAATTAATGTATTGCAAACAACAAATCAAGTTAAAGCAAATCTTATAAATGCTAATATGTTCAAAGGAGATATGATCCTCACGAAACCTGGGCAAGATCGTAATAATCAAAAAGTTGTATTTGTTCATAAACAAATAGCAATGAATCCTAATGAGATCAAAGCTCTTGGTCTTAAAAAACAAGTTATGATTCCAAAAAGTAAGCTTATCACTTCTCAAAGTTCTAAAGTTCCTATAATCAAAGATATCCAGATTATATCTGCTGGAAATCCAGCTATTATAAAAAATGCCTTAGTGCAGCAGCAGCCAATGATTGTGCACCAGAATGTCACTACTCAAGCAGCAGATCAACCAAATGAAACAGCTCAACGTTCTGTGCAATCACAAAAAGGAATACCAATGGTTTTGAAAGCAAAACCGCCAGAAATCAAAAAAGAAAAGAAAAAAATAGATGGTATTTCGGAAATACCAGCCGAAACAGTTAATGAAACTTTAAAGTCTGTAGAAACAAAAACATCAACAGGTAAGAGTGAAAACGAAATTATTTTACAGTCAAATGATAGCTTTATGTTAAAAATATAAAAATATGAGTAAATATTAGCTATAGAATTTTTACACTAATATAAAAATAAAAAGCTTGATGGCTTACAAATTAATATTACAATACAAAATTTTATGTTTCTAATTACTATTGTAATTTTAATAAATTTTTACTTTATACAGCACCTAAAAAAATTGTTAAGAAAGAACATCGTAAATCAGATACACATGTAGTTGAAGCTCTAGGTCCTGCACTATTTTCCACTCCAGATATAATAAGACGAGTTGGTTCAACTGAAATAAAAGCTTCAGATTCTCCTGTTGCACATCTTACAGTTGCGAGTGTTAGTAATACTAATGTAAATGCATCTATAGTTAATACTGTTACCAGCGTTTCTACAACATTAAGTACTACCAATACTACACTAGTCTCAACAACTGCTGGAAATATATTAGATGGCTCAATTGAGACTAATATTATTACGAATAATGCATCAAATACTACACTATCAAATAAACTTGATGATCATTCTTTGTTAATACCGGATAATTTGGTTGACGATAAAATAGATGATAAAACTACAATTGCAGACTTATTGCAACCAGCTTTAGATTCTGGTAAATATATATTTATAGTAAATTCCGCAGAGTTTTATCATATATTATTAACAAATATAGTAGTTATATCATTATTTGTTTTTTATTTTTCTCATTCCTCTTACTTTCAATATTTTTACATATTTATTATCAATATATTTAGTTAATATTTTCCACCTTTTTGTTATGTTTTATTAGCTTCTAAATCAACTACATCTCAGGAAACACCTCAGACAGTGGAACAAAATAATTCAAAACAAATTGTTTCTGAGAGTAAGTTATTGTTTGTTTTCGTTTGCAAAGTTATTTTGTTTTATTTTCTTTTAAGAGTAGAACGTGTATTTCATATAATTTAATTTAATTGTACATGATCATATAATACTTAGCTTATTACCATATTATAAATGTTAAATTTTCTATTAATTATAGCTGGTATTGAAGGGGATGATCACTTGTTAGCTACATTAGGTATGGATCCTGCCAAGCAGTTACCAAATGATGAAGAATTGTTGGCAGAGGCTTTATTGTCAACATTAGGTGTTGATTTGGATCAAGTAAGTATTTGAATATGGTGAAACTATTAAAACATTGCAATTTCACCAAATTATTTACAAACTTTAGTGTAAAACTTTATGTTTTTATAATGAATTTTATAATATAATGCAATACAGTGATAGAAAGAGAAATATTTTATCATTGAAAATAATCTGTTTATTATCTTTGCAGAGTGGACTAGTTGATCCTACAGCAGATTTACCAGAACCTATTTTGTCTTCTTCTGTAATAGAGCCGTCCCAACCTCTATCAGTAGAACCTACAACAATTAAGACTGATTTCCCACAGACTGCAGTACTTCGAGAAGTTACAGCATCATCAATTTCAAGAACTGAACCAGTACAGAAAAAGGATACAAAAGAGCCGATTCAAATTATTAGAGGAGGAAGAGTAATAACTTTACCACCAATAGAAGCTCCAGCTACTAGAAGCAAGAGGTTGCAGACAAGAGCAGAAAATCAAGTCAAAGTTGAAAAGAAATCACATTTTGAACATCAGTTTTCAAAAACTGAATCTGCTGTTACACCTGTGAAAAGTGAAAGAACACCGTTCGTGTTCTACTTTTTTTTCTTATCAAAACAAACGTATATTTATGTGATTCTAAATAATTATATTAATTTTAGGAGAACGTCGACGCATGTTAGTTTTCATAAACAAGATATGATCTATAATATGGATGATGAGGAAGAAGAAGAAGAAGAAGAAGAAGAAGAACCGAATTCGGATTCTGAAGATGATCCTAACAGATTATGGTGCATTTGCAGACAACCTCATAATAATCGATTTATGATATGCTGTGATATGTGTCAAGATTGGTTTCATGGAAAATGTGTTCATGTTACAAAGGCTATGGGTATGACAAGATACATTTAAAAAAACTTATTTTTACAGAATCTGATTCTGAATTAACTTTACCTGTAAATTAAAAAATAAAATAACATTTTTGATAAATTAAAAGTAAATCTTATATTTATTATTAGGCGAGCAAATGGAAAGTCAAGGCATTGAATGGGTTTGTCCTAATTGTTCTAAGAAAAAGAGCGAAGAAAGTAAACCTAAGTTAGGTTCAAGACGACAGAGAAATAGCGTGGATGCCGCATTAGGCGAAAAAAATCGAACGCCAACTATTTCAAACGTCTCAAATAAGCCTGAAATCAAAGCCACACATAACACGGGAAAAAATCCTAGCACTTCATCAGGAGTAACACACTGTGTAGTTTGTAAAAAGGAAGCGAGAAAATCAAGCATTTACTGTTCTGATGCGTGTATATTAGCTCATGCTGAAACGACATCAACTAAACCTGCTTCTTCATCACAAGTTAAAACGCCCAAAGTAGATGGAGCTAAGCTTAAATCAGACGCTAGAATTGTTGTCTTTGATAAAAGGACTGGGAAAGTCATTACAGGTAAGTGTTTTGTAAAAAAATATATTTCATTCAACAATGTCAACTTTGTTTAAATAATAATAATTTATATATTTTAGGTGCGGATGCGCCAACAGCGTCGAATTTACGGGCCTGGCTGAAAGAACATCCAACATGCGAGGTGGTCAAACCTAATAATTTAAATACAATACAACTATCAGGAAAAACTGTTGCGGCCATTCAAACTCAAGGAATTAAGATTGTACGTTATTCATATGTTACATCAAAAAAAGCAATTATAATTACTCTTTTTGATAACTTTTACGTTACTTTATTTATTTTTTTTTTTTTCAAAGCTGTTATTTTAATTTGTTTTATTTTTCAGAATAAACCAGTGCAAGGCAAATCTGTAGGACAAGCTAAAATGATCTATACCAAAATGCCAGGCTCAAAGCAAACTGTATTGGCTGCTAGTATAAAGAAAAATACATCAACATCGGATGCCCCATTGAGTTCTGCTGCTTCACCTCAACAACGTCAGAAGCAAGTACCTGTTAAACTTCTAAAACAAACAACCATTAAAACTTTACCGCAGACTCAACAACAGCCGCAACCACCGCAGCAGCAACCCATTCAGCAACCAACTCCACAGAAACCAATTGCTACATCAACACCATTGAAGCCAACAGTTTCCAGAAAATCGCAAGAAGTAGTTAAATCGGCAACTCCTCAGCAAAAACAGCAGCAAACTCCACCTCCGAAAAAGCCTGAAGCAGAGCAACTCAGATTAACTGTGCGGAAGACACTGGCTGATGTACTCATCGCTCGAATAAAAGAAGCGAAAGATCTTAACTTGAGCGAAGAAGAAATTATCGAAGTAGCTTTACAAATTGAGCTTGAAATGTACAAGTTCTTCAAAGACACAGGTTCGAAGTACAAGGCTAAATATCGCAGTCTGGTTTTCAATGTCAAAGATCCGAAGAATCTGACTCTGTTCCGAAAAATTGCTGACCATTCTTTAACTGCCGAAGCTGTAGTAAAACTAAGTCCCGAGGAAATGGCTAGTCAAGAATTAGCCGAGTGGCGCGAGAAAGAAACGAAGCATCAGCTTGAAATGATTAAGAAGAACGAACTGGACATGATGGCTCAGGCGAAATCTATTGTTGTAAAGACGCATAAGGGCGAGCAAATCATCGAAAACGATGGAGGCATTGAGAGCATCGATTTGAAGACTCCCGTTCAAGATATTGTTACAGCATTGAACAGCGGAGACACTACACCAGAAGACAATAACAAATTGAGAGAGGACGAGGCAACGTTCAGCAAGTTTCTCGACGGAGATGATAAGAAAAAGAAGAAGAAAGAGAAAGATCGAGATCGAGAAAAGCGTCGAGACAGGTCGCGCGATCAAGACAGCAAAGATGGCAGTAAACGCGATAGGAGTCGAAGCAAAAGTAGGCATCGGCATCGCGAAAGAAGCAGAGACAGAAAGTCGAAGAAGGAAAAGCATAAGGGCAGGGATCGCACAAGAGACAAGGATCATGATAAGAGTAGGCATCGCGATAAGAAGAAAGACAAAGATGACGACAGAAAGGACAAGCACAAGCGAAGTCGCAGCAGCTCCAGAAGTCACAGCAAGACCAGGTACAAGGATCACAAAGACAAACACAAACAGAAGGAGGAGGAGAAAAAGAAAGAGGCTAGCGCGAAGGGTGAAAGTAGCGTAGTCAACGTGGACAAATCGATAGAGGAGAGGCTATGGAGGCACATAGAGGATGAAACAACCACCAATACCTTGGATGGCAACGATTCCGACATATCAGACCGAGAACCAAGCTCAACCGTGACCATTAAAACACCCGATATCAACGAAGAGCTCGACAAGGACTTTGACTTGAATCTCATGGAAGTACAAAGTAACGAGACAATAACCAAGGGAGTGATGACCGTGTGGCGTGGTATCGTACACATGGCGGACGTTGCCAAGTTTTCCGTAACAGCGCAGAATGTCAGTGGCAACTCGAAGGAACTAATGGAAGAACTGCCCGGTACACTCGATGTGGTCGGCAGAATAAGCCCAACAACGGTCTGGGATTACATAGCCAAAATGAGGAAACATCCCAATAAGGAGATAGTGATCATTAAGCTAACGGCGACGAATGACGAGGAAAAGATTCCCTACATAACGCTGTACAGTTACTTGAACAGCCGCAGTCGACTAGGTGTAGTTGGTAGCATGTCGTCGCCGATCAAAGACTTTTATATTATGCCTTTCTCCCACAATAGTATGCTGCCTTCGGTGCTTATGCCTATCGATGGACCTGGCTTCGAGGAGAATCGCCAAACCTTGCTGCTGGGCATTATGGTTGTGCATAGCCGGACGAAGCGCCTTGCCAGTGTGCCACCACCACTTACGCCCATCCCGACCAAAATTATACGCAAAGAGCAGATAACGGGCGACAGAAGTTACACACCTCCGCCACCTCTGCATTTGCTGCCCGGCAGTGTCAAAGATGACGATCAGGATTCTAAGCAAAGTCTCTCGGTTATATCTAAGATCGTGCCTGAGCTGTCTTCGAAGATCACACTCGAGTCATCCTCCTCGTCGGACAAGATGCATCTCAATGACGACGACGACGAGCCCTACAGTCCAGGCGAGCCCGTCGACCTGCCACTCGATGATGACGATGAGGATGCTCTCTCGTCCTCCTCGAGCATCAAGATGACACAGATTACTACGGAAACTTCTATCTCGTTTACCACGGTCGTCGCTGTTTCGCCATCCAAGAGCTCCACTGAGCTCCAACGCAAAATGGAAGAGCTCAGCAGACAAATCGAGGAGGAAAAGATGCAAATTCAGAACATTAGCTCATCTTTTCTCGGTGATTCGTCGACTACTCTACCGGTGAGAGACTTAACTAATGGAGCTTAACCACTTTTGCATTTAATCTGTAGATTTGATTTTTTTAATCGCGATTATGTAAATAAAAATAATTTTGCGATTTTCACCCTTATCCTATAACCAAACCTATCCTCTTTCATACATTTTCGTCTTTCTATAATCACTCACGATTATTGTTACATCTTGAAGATTGTTATGCCACTTTAACTGTGATACGTGTCTGTGATATCTACGTTATGATTAATAAACGTAAACAACAGAATCTTCATCTTATCTAATTACATTTCATCAATTTTTCTTTTGACTAATTGTTCGACGATAATTATTAAGAAAATTTTTTAATGGATATTAATCGTTATCTTGATTACTATTATTTGAATTCTTGCTAAAATTTGTTGAATATTTTATTGAATGAATTAAGATAGAATTTATAATAAAATTAATTGAATTGTTTCTTGGTAAAATTAAGTACTTAAGAAACTCTGCAACTAACAATAATAATAATAATAATAATATTAATAATTACAGAAATCTTTCACTACTATTTCCACATATTACAGTAATTTGAAAGTAATTAATGTCAAATAACAAACTTCAAGAAAGCTTAGTTGATCTAGGTCGAATAATTTATATGAACGAAGTATTGACACTTTGTTTTTGATAAATTACAGGGTTTGGGACTTGATCCACCGGATAGCAATGATGCAGGGGAAGCCTACAGCCCTAGTGATACAAGGTCTTTCACTCCACCTCCACAAGGCATACCAAAATTGAGTCAGCCTATTCTCGAAAAAGTTTCAAACATTACAATTCCACCAAATCTCCAAGAAATTTTAGCAAATGTCAAACGCCAAGAAAGTTCAAAAGTGGATCCATATCTGCCATCAAAACCTGGTGCAACATTTTTAACGTCAAACAATTCATCTTCATATTCACCAACTTACAATAGAACCACCACTGGAAAATCAAGTTCAGACGTGCAATCTTCTCCTCGTAAAGAGACAAAAAGTACTTTAAGTTCATTGAGTGATTACGATTTGATGAAAAAGGCCGAAGAAGAACTAGCAGCACTTGCAGCTGCTGATGCAGCATCTGCTCCACTACCTATGGCAGAACCAGTCAGTAGCGAACCTCCACCTCCTGGGACTTCGTTTGAATCGCCTCACCGATAGAGTGTTAAATGAAGTGATGCTTTATTCAGATTTCAGATAAACATTGGCATGTGTAAAATAAGGCATTGACTTCTAATTTTAGTGTCTTGCGTACAAAAACAGACTAAAAATTTGTGACTGTAAAATGCAGCGTGTTGGTATATGGTAAATAGTAGAGTTAGTACATAAGATGAGAAAAAAAATCACTTTTATCACAAATTGAGAAATTGTTTTTCAATTTATTTTGTATTTAGAGAAAATGTACTATGTTAAATATCAGTTTTTATTTAACTGATTCTTTTAAGAAAAAGCATTTCTATTGTATATATTAATAAGCAAAAGAAACAGTGCTTAAATGATCTTTAAGTATTTGATAAGAAACTTGAACTTTTTTCTAAATATCAACAGGTGAAAATTAACGTGTAATGAAGAGTCGAAAATCAGTTTTTATGATTATTCTATATTATTTTCATTTGTATTTTGTAATGAAAGCGATCATACCTTGTAATAAACTGAATTTTTTTTCAATATTTATATTTTGTTTTGACAAAAATCTTCGCGTGTACAAAAATTTCTAATAAGATATGATAATATTTAAATTTAGTTGAAAAAAAATTTACTTTATTCCATGTAAATTGACTGTAAAAACTTTTTTATTTTAATTCAAATATGATTAAAAAAGGCAAAGGCTATTAATGAATAAAATTTTGTCTATTTCTTTTTAATTCCTCCAAAATCCATAAATTTGAAGAGGCTTTTTATATAAGACATTGTTTTGATAAATTACAGGGTTTGGGACTTGATCCACCGGATAGCAATGATGCAGGGGAAGCCTACAGCCCTAGTGATACAAGGTCTTTCACTCCACCTCCACAAGGCATACCAAAATTGAGTTAGCCTATTCTCGAAAAAGTTTCAAACATTACAATTCCACCAAATCTCCAAGAAATTTTAGCAAATGTCAAACGCCAAGAAAGTTCAAAAGTGGATCCATATCTGCCATCAAAACCTGGCAACGAACATTGGACAGTACGCGATTATCAAAACAAATTGTTTATTTAACATCTGCGTGCATCCGTGATTGCGCAGGATACGAATGATAAAAATTATAGATCTATTATATTAACATTATTAATATAATAATATATCATTTGACTATCTTTTTTCATCATGGTAAACATCTGATGACCGACGTCCGGACGTCTGCCTCCTTATGTAGAAAGTCTCTTAATACATTTTATCAATCATAGGTTTAATAAATATTTTGGATAATTGTTTTGATACATCTTGAAATAACAAGTTTATCGTTTTTTATGAAAAAATGATCAGTGTAAATTCTATTTTGATCCATCAATGAATATATCATTTGGATATAATGCGTGTATTTTAAACAACATGTAAAAGATTTAAATAATGTACTGATAAGAAAAAACAATAGAATGAGCGCGTGAAGCACATAAATAACTTATAATAATATTATCATCATCAGACGTTTACCATGATGAAAAAAGATAGTCAAATAATATATTATTATATTAATAATGTTAATATAGTAGATCTATAATTTTTATCATATAAATAACTTTATATAAGAGACTACTTGATTTTTAATTTGTTACTATCAAAGAATATAACTAGATTATATAGGTAATTTTGGAAACAAGAAATGATGCCAGTAGAATTAGTGTTGTAAAGTTGTCAGTTTTGGAAATATTCGATATCGCCAGCTATTTCCGGAATTTATCTGGGAGTCTTCCGTTGGCCACTCGACCATTTTTCGTCGTGACACGCGCAATGGATAAAGAGCCATCTTGTTCGAGAAGCCGACGTGGCGGCCGGCTTGCCAACAAGTTCTATCGCTGGAATTATGAATCGTAAGATAAATCATTATTTTTCTGATATTTATCTTTACTTTTTCACATTCGTCATTGTTATTTTTCACAAAACGTAATAACTTCAATGATACATATTCGTTCTACACGTGTTTTAAAAAAACTGTCTTTTAGTTATCTTAGTTTCGGAATATTTTAATCTTTTTATGTACCTGATAAGATATTTTATATGAATAAAATATAAATTTCCAAATTTCTTATATGTGTATTCGCGGTTATTTCAAAACTAATTACAAATTGATAGATTTGAACGAACACGTTTCTAAGTTTTATGGTTATGGTTGAGTATGCCATTAACTTTATACGAATATAGTTATATATTATAGTTATAAATTACAAACGAATAACTGTAATTTACATATTCCTCCTAATGTACTTATTGAAACAATTGTTCAAATATCATTAAATTTCTTTCAAAATTTGTGTAACTAGAGATATGTACTTCAATTAAAAAAAAATTTTTATTTGTCACAAGCTCATTTTGGAACTATTCCTATGATTACTATGATTATTTTAGTGCTTATTTAATTTTTTAAATTTCGTGGTGTGCGAAACATTTAAAAGCATCTTAAAGTTTATTTCAATTTTATAATTGTGTCTCACTTAATACACAAATGTATCTTTAGTTTTGTGTCCCATTTTAGCTACATGGATACTTTTGCTCATTGCTGCTGCAGCAAGCATATCAGCTGCAGACGTGCCATCTTCAACAAATTCATATTTAACAGTGGCTGATAAGCTTCGTTTAAAAAAAGTCTTAGAACCTGGACATAAATTGTTAGATTTAGCCCAAACTCATTATGCAGTTCTTGGATATAAACTCTTGAATGAACCTATTACAAAGATTGGTGTAAGTACTGAATAGATCTTGGTTAGAGTAGTCTACTTGATGATTGTTTTTCGTGATGAAAAATGCCTTATTGAAAATCAATGATTTTATAATTAGTCTTTCTGACGTAAAACATAAGAAAATATTTTATTTTTTTATATATTGAACAGTCATTTTTATGTAATTGATAACTTTATACATAGGAAACTTGTGAGTTTTTGATAAAATCTGCTGGAGATTCTGTATTAACAACAGAGCAGATATATTACCTGGCTACTACATGGAAAACTCTTGAAAAATGTCAACCCAAATCAATCCCATTGTCCTCTTTTACAAAGGTATACTCATTGTTTATATAAAATTGAACAATATTTATAGAAATTTATCTTATTACTAGAAATGATGTTTAAACCTTAACTTTTATTTTACTGAAAAAGTTTGAAGACAATTTCACTAATTTGATATTGTCAAAAAAAAATTTTTTGAGATATTATACTGAATAATTCTAATATGTATAATTTTTTAATTACAGACATTGACAGCTGTAATAGATAAAGAAAGTTCTACTATTCCCGAGCTATATTATGCAGTTACTGCTTTAGTATCATTTGGTCAAAAAGTTTCAGATGCTTCTGCAACAAAGTTGATGAAAAATTTACAAGCTTCTCTGAAGAAAGATGATAATTTATTGAAGTAAAATTGGTTTTCAACTAATGAATGTACTGATAAATTTTATTAAATTAATCTTAATGGCAATTTTGTTATTTACAGTTTAGGTTACATATTTCATATTGCTGCTGACTTAGGGCCTGCTGGAAGTTTTGCACTGAATCAAATTGATGATGCTATTGTTCAAGCTGATGAAGTAAATGGACGATTTTTGCAATTTGAAGGAGGGCTATCTATTACAAGTAAGTTTATATAAATGATTTTATAACTATATGCTAGATTGAAAATTTTAAATGCATTACTAAAAATTCTTGAAGCCTATGAAATGATGTATCTAGAAACTTTCGTTCTACTGAATGCAATTGAAGAATAATTTAATAACTGAAATTAATGAAGAAAAAATATATTGTATAATAAGATTGTTATTTGGATTAATTATTATTGTTATGATTTTCAGGTTTAATTGTCAATGGAATTTACAGACTTTCATCAGCATTAAAGAAAAAACCAACTATATCATCTCAACAGATTGTTAAATTAGCCAATTATTTCTTATCACGTAGATCTGTTCAGACACCTAAAGGCGTTGTTAATCTACTTTCTTCGATTCATACATTAGCTACAAATGAATTTGAAAAACCAATTTGCATAACTTTATCTGAAGATGGAGTAGTAATTTCTACTAAGCAACCTTTAGTACGAATTAAAGTTTGTGATATTCTTGGGAATCCCTTACCATCTGTAACTAATGTTATAGCTAATACTGCGACAAAAGTTAGCGATGATGTAGTTGTCATTAGTAAAAAAAATTTCCAATCTACTCCGAATGATAAGTAAGTAACCATTGAGATAATGATCTCCAATAATTGTGTTCCCCAATAATTTGCTGATTTGATATATATCTATTAATGTCAGTTATACGCATGGGGTATATTATTAGTTGAAAAGTAATTGCTTATACTATTTTTGGAAGGCATAAGTTTTTCAACACACACATACAATAAATTTATATACTTGTTGTGGATTGATGGATTGATTAATCTTGTGATTTTATTATATTTTCAGAACTTTATTCACATTGAATTTTATGGCTACATCACCAGAGCCAGGATTTTATAAAATAGCAGTGTCTGCCGGCTCAGTCGTTAATACAGTAAGTGTTAAAGTACTTACTGAAGTTAAAGTTGATTACTTAGAAATAGGAACTGCTGATGCTGATCAAACCACTCAACCAAAATTAGTCAAGTATGTTACAGGCTCATAGTTTAATTACAAATCAATGTTTTTGTTAATGAAATGCAGTAATTTTTAATTATTTTTAGAGTTACTCATCCACAAAAGCTTGGCCAAAAAATTGAAGCAGATTCTCAGCAAAAACTTGTTATCCGATTTTTGTTGAAAGACGCTGTTAAGAATAAGCCATTAAAAGTACATCAAGCATTTGTTCGTCTTTCATCCATTGTCTCCAAAGAAAATGATAAACAGGAAATTATTTTTGTAGCTGAATCTGATGCCTCCAACGTTTACAAATTTGATATGGTAAGTTATCTTTAGATTTGGACTATATTTATAATGTCTACGTGAATTTTGTTGATATATTTATATTTTACCTATGTTTTACAGCCTGTTGGAAGCGAAGCAAAAAACTTTAATTATCAAAGCACTGATTACAATATCGAATTGATCGTTGGTGATGCAATTTTGAGCAATTCTTTTCAGTGGACTGTAGCAACAATTGGTTTGAAATTCCCAGAGACAGCAGCTTCTGAAGTTGCTGAAAAATCAACTTACAGACAAAAACCTAATGTGTATTCACCAAAGCCTGAAATTAAAGTAAGTGTGATATACTTGAATCCAAATTAAATTGAGCCAATGCTCGTTAGCAATAAAAGATGTTGTATGCTTTTGTTACCTCCATGTCATTGGCAAATCAATAGATTTTCTGTAATCATAATTTTCGAATTTTCACAATTTGAAATAAGCAGAAAAACGATAGCAATTATTAAAAAACTAAAATATCTCTTGTTTGTTAAAGAATAGTAACTTATTAGTCTTAAAATTTTCAGCATTTGTTCCGTGAGCCTGAAAAACGACCATCAGCATTAGTCTCAAACTTTTTTACCGCTTTATGTGCATCGCCCATTCTTGTCCTGTTAATTTTATGGGCTAAATTAGGCATTAATATATCGAATTTCCCATTTTCGTTAAGTGCTATTATATTCCATCTTGGATTGGGAGGTAGGTTCATTACACTTATTTCTAAATTCAGTCTATGCCCGATGCTTGACAATCAACTTGTAAAATGGAATTGTTTGTTTTCAATCGGGCAAAGATTAATTTGGAGAATTTTTCACAATTGCAACTTTGTATTTTGTTGTATTTGCAGCCCGATATTCTCAACATCATATTAATATAAACATATAAGTTTTTATTCTTGTGAATATGAATATTAATAATACATTTTGTGCACGTTTCAGGTATATTTGTACTGTTTGGCATGTTCTGGTTGAAACTGAATATGTTTATCACTTTAAGATACCTTCTTGGGCTTGGATTGGTTACTTTCTTGGCTGGTAATAAACTATTGTCACGAATAGCTCACAACAGAAAGGGAGCCCGCTAATTTGGCACATGAATTTCACGCGTAGACTGATCCATTGAGTTACAGGTAGTAAAATGTGCCCATGTAATGTGATACTCAGCATAAAATCGTATCGGACATAAGTATTGTATTCTGAAACCAAAATCTTTAGACGGCAAAACTTTTATGATGATAATTTCAATGAAAATGTAATTCGCTGCATAATGCATGTGAATAAAATATGTAAAATGAAATGCTGCCTGATGACAGTATCGTTATAAAAAAGCACTTTCTTTATTTTTGCGCAGCAAACTAAGTTGTATACTTAACTTTTTCATGAAAGTACGTGTAAATTACGATATAATGTCGGTGTGTGTTATAAACATTTTCGTACTCATGATTATTTCTAAATAAGATTAAAGATTGAGTGTTGCAATAACGAGACATTCCTACGAAAGAAAACTCGATTTTCTGGCATCGCTATTTCTAAATGGGACTGATGTCAATTTATGATTTTTTATGTACAGATTTTAAATATATAAATAAATATAATAATACAATTGAAAAAAATTACTGTTTACACTTCAGTTTAAAGTATTTATTTGAATAGCTGCTAAAACTATTCCTTAAAATTTATATTATTACCAGTGAAGGACATCGTTCATTTGAATAATAATTAGAATTATGTTTTGAAGATGGCTTTGAAACTTCGTTCATGTATAATTTTAGAGAGCTTTTCAGGTGATCAGACTCATTAATTAACTTTTTTATTGAGATTTTTAAATTTATTGCATCTCTGTTTACTTTTGAGACAATTCTTGAAAATTTCTTCAATGGATGGTTTTTCTCAAAAAGCTTAAAAAAAAACCGTATTTTTATACCGTATCAGTGTAAATCAATTGAAATGTAATTTGAAAATTACTTGTAGGATCGTGTCTGATTGTATCGATGATTGGCTACTGTGAGGGCAAATAGAGTCAGTGATAGTTGAAAGAGGATACAGTAAGATTTTGTCTTCATAAGATTCGTATTTTTTGCATAAATCTACCGATGCTAAAATTGGTTTAAGCGTTACAATATACTTCTTCAAATATTCTTCAGTTTTATGGTATTCATTGATTAAAAATTTTAAATGTTCTCTGTCCGACATTTGTTCTGAAAAGATAGATGTATGTAAAAAATTATCTGGAAAGCAATTAAATATGGACAAATCGCTAATTATTAGACGTCATAGAAGGGATAAACTAGCAATCAATGAATTGAATGGAGCTTACTCAAAAATATTTAGCCGTTGAAAAGTAATTTGAAAATAAAGTAAATTCATCATATCACTTTTGCTGGGTTTATGTTTTGAAGCAAAATGAATAGATAATGTTTCTTACGGAGCAATTTTGATAGATGTAAACGATCAAATTTAATGAAAGCGATTTTTTTGGTATCGTCAACGTTCCGGTACGCCCATTATTTGCAGTTATTTCAATTTGAAGACGTGATGTTTGTTATTTGAAATCGTACATGAAAATTATGCAGAGTAAAATAAGATTGCTTTCGTATCTTTGGAGTGATATTGTAATATGTAGAACAGGTTTTGTCTAATTATAGAAAGTTCGTTGACCATCGAGAGATAAGTACTTGTATGGATAAATGTACGTAAAAGCCAGACGAGTAGTTTTTGATGAAATAGAATACTATGTGGCGGGTGTAATCTCTAGAAATGAAGGAAGTTAAAGGTTGAATGTTGAATTGGGGTTCTTACTATTGAATCTGACTTGTTACGCAGGCTTTGAGAAATTTCACGATAATGTTTATTAAAGAAAACTAGAAATATGTTACCTGATAAAAGTCGACTTTGAATAGCGAACCAAGCCGAGCGAAAATAATCGCGTTCAAATTTACAATCTGCCAATTCTTTGTCAGAATAATGGCGGTACTCGGTGATCTTGCCTTTAAGGGCATGCAAGGTTTCATAGAGCTTTTCGATGCGAAGTGTATTGTCTGCGATAACTTTCCGATCTTTCTCGTCTTTTTCTCGTAGAGCTTCAAAATCCTTGCGTCGGGCTTTTGTGTCTACAACGAGCATCATCGGTCAAATATATGTGCATATGATTGGCTTTGGCATTCGCGTCTCGGTTTGTTCTGTTGGTTAGCGGAAATCGTTCGGCTAAAAAATCTTACTTTCCTCGTGGTCGCGTAAAACGCCCGCGAGTTCCGCCGAATGGTTGCGCAAGCGTCGTTTCAAAATCGCCGATGCCATTCTAAGAACGTTGTCGTTTTCTTCTTTCAGCCCGTCTAGTTTTGCTGTTTGAACATTCGTCATTCCGTTAATAGAGCTTTTGTTTGGTTTTACGAGCTTGAGCTTGGAGCTGTTTGTAAACGCGACTAGTACGATTGAGCGCAAATACTTAAAGGAATAAAAGCCGTATCGATAGTCTTACATAAATGTTTAGTATTAATGTTTTCCATGTGCTCTTGATGCTTGATTTTCGTCGAGAAAACTAAGGCTCGAAGTTGTAATTGTTTTTCTTGTTCTCCTTCGATTTGATCAACTTGTTGTCCGACGGAATCGAGCGCCTGTTCGATGCTTTCCTCATAACGCGATCTCCTTTCGTCCACGTGCTGTTTGAACAGCTCCAATAAGCGATCGATTTCAGTCGCGTGCACAATGTCGGCTCGTCTTTTCTGCTCCGCGCTTATTCTCAATTCGTCCAGTAGCACGCTGATGCTGTTTGAACAATAAGTGGCGGCACGTTTTTTTTCTCGTGCAAGTGTGGGCAACGAGGACAGAGTTGAGCGGATGAGTACCTGTAATCTCGATCATCGATAGCCCGGTCGAAGGTGCGCCAGGCAGCCTCGAGCTCATTGCGGACGATCGGCAAATTCATAGCGATCATCTTTTGACGCCAGGCGAGGCGCTGACGCCGATCGTTGGCGTCGGCCATACGGAGCTCGTCGGCCAGCAGTTCGCGCTGGGCATCGCGCTGCGCCTCCTCCGCCTCTTCGCCCCGCAACTTCCGTTTACCCTTGCGCTTCTTCATTATTAATCCTCGCGATTAGCAGCTTGTCTCTCGAACGCGCCCGCTTCCCTCTACACCTGCAACCTTTAGCGTCGGATCATGCTCTTTCTCTTTCCGACTCGTCGATGCTCTCATATTTTCTCAGCACGAATGACGCGTACTCACAAACCTAATCCTTATTTATTTTCGTCCACTGCTCAGTAGACTCTGTTCAATCCTTCACTGTACCCTGAAAGTTCGTGTGCGCTATTCTAGGTTAATGATGCCCACGCATCGGATATAACAAAACCGAAGACTGCTGATTCGCGCTGTCGTTCGTCACCGTTTAAGAATAAAATTCTACATTCATTGGTCTTTCGAAGGTTCTTACTTTTGTTTTCGTTGCCAAGGCTTCATTTGTCCAACAAACTTTCGGTCACTTCGTTACCAGCTCTCGCACGCACTAGTCACCAACCTTATCTAGATTAAATCAGCATTGTTCCAACTCAAGTTTTGCTTTTCGTTGTGTTCGTGTCGTTAATCGTATTCAAAATAAAGCTGATTATTTTATGTTAACAGTCACAATTGCAACGTTCATACTTACATGAGCGATTAACACGTAAGCTCTTTAATCCATTTTTTTATTTATCCTATCAGTATCCACAATGTGTCGAACGACGCGAATGAGGACGGTAGGATCATTCACAAATAAACCAGCAGAAGAAGGACTATCCTAAGCCATCGGTCAGGTGCTCATGTGACTGACTGGTTATGCTAATGAGCAACTTTTTTTTGTGACCAACACTTCAGTCACAATGTTAGTCTGTTACTTTTGAATGTGGTCTCTATCAATCGCATCTTATCGCACAAACTGTCGACACACGTTTTGTCACAGTGATCCGAGTTCACAAATAAAAATTAAACTAGATGTGGCACTTTTAATTTACGAAGAATCCAGCGTATACCGAAATAGTTTATTCTATTCGAAGATTACAAAAAGCTTCAAATTTGAGCAGTCTGCATTCTTGAAATGCAGACTTTAGAAGGCTTTATTTTAGAACGCGCGCTCTAATAACTAGATATTAACAGAGTCGAAGGATGAATATCGTCCATGAATATGTTTTAATTATTACCTTAGGTAATAATTACTATTTTATACTACGATACTCAAGACTATTTTTTTCTGATCGCTTGATCATACTTATTGAAAGTTACTGAATGTCTGAGTGAATGAATGAAGTCGCGATTGAGTCCTTGATCCTATCAGAAATCAATGCCGAACTGTGTTAAAACATATCCTATATCGCGCACATACTTGTTGAATATTCAGATTTGACGAGAACTGACAAGTGTTTTTATTGGAAAATATACTATAAGTTGTCAAATGAAGTTGATAGCTATGAAAAGCTGTTTCGAGAGAATGAAATATTGCAGAATCTTTGAAGTTACGTAATTGCGTTAATAAGAAACGGCTAGGGCAAGCATACTGGAAGCCTTGTGATGGTCTCTAAAAATATTATTATAAGGTCATTTACCTTTCAAACGCCCACGCACGCGTGCTGGATGCGAAATTTAAAAAAATGGCACAAAAGAAATGGCTCGAGAGCCTTTGGGCGGAGCTAAAAGTTTGTATAAAGTTTCCGTGCTCTTGTCGAGCTCGTGCAGTCAAATTCACGCCTTTACTCAATCGTCATCTTTCTTCATTCGTTTGACAAAGAAATTATTCAATATTACTCAGAACTACGACGTTATAAGCATGGTATCGTTGTTTCGTCTCTTTTACACTGTTTTATCACCAAGTCCATAAAACTCGACTTATTCAAATATTGACATTTCGTTTGAATGTGCTGCATCCAGTTTTTGTGCGCTTGCTTTCAGAAATTAATACTAGTGACTGTGGCACTGGCAGCTTCGCTTCAGACAATCTTGGCAGCAGATCTTGATGGAATTCAAAATGCTACTCCCATTGGTATTCCGTTGAATAATCCAAGGTATTCCTAGTAACGCTACTGCCTACCAATTATTTTAATCAACAGAAGAGATTAACACCGATTTCACATGGCACCTTATTAAATTCTTCAAAGATTTCATACGTATTATCCATGATGTCTCGTCGAATACATTTAAGCAGGAATAAGCTAGCAGAATAAATACGAGCTCATTGGCCGAAGCTTATTCATGATGATAAAATAATAAAACATACGTCCTACTCATGAACAAATTGCTGATGGCAATGTTTTGTTGAAATAGTTTTGAATTTGGTGGTCCGAGCAATGGTGATGCAGCACTGGAGGAAGGCCATTTAGGTGGTTATCGGCCACTTTATCCACCGTATTTCAACCGAAACAGCAACGAACAGCAACAGCAGTACTACGATGAAGAGTATTACAGTCGTGGCGGCCAAACCGGTAACTCTCCGGACTCTCGTCTCGATCGGACCCTCAAAACTGGCGCTCCCGGACTCTCCGCAGGCCTCGCTCTCGGCAAACCTTCCAGCGATGTGCAAGTCTACGTGGTCAATCGTGATTCACAATCTCCGGGTCGATCTGTAGTCCAGTTGCAGACTCAGCCTCCTAGCCAACTTGCAGTTCAGCCTCAACTTGGATTGCCGGCTCAAATTCAACCTCAGCTGGCCCAGATACTAGCGCAATACCAGCAGTATGCCCAGCAATTCTCCAACTTTCGAACTCAACACACTCATTCGTACTTCTACAATTTCAAATTTCCCAGTTCCTAACCGCCGATCCTATTGATTATTTAGCTCAGAGCAATTTCTCACATTTGTCTCAATTGTGGCTGCATTTTATAACCGAATAACGACCGTTAGGTCGTATAGTCTAGTCGTTTTACGACTATCAATTACGTTTGTATTATCATTTGTAGTTGACTACCTTCTCATTTTGTTATGTTTTCTTATATTTTTTAAGTGTACATTACATCTCATGTGTTTCTTCGTTTAAAACAATATGTACAGTTATTAAACTTCTGTTTTCCGTGGATAAAAATACACGTGTATTTTGTAATATTGCCCATTTACACGTACGTTTGCTCAGCTTTCAACAACTATCTAGCTTTTCAACATATTTGTTATATATAAGTTGGATAAACATTTAATTCTACTGTAACAAAACCTATTAATTAGTTAGTAATAAATTACAATGATTTTCCATTCATTGTTTATTAATTATTTTTAATTAACAATTAACAATAAGTATCTTATTAATGCATTTTTTGACCTTTAACTCGACGCACTTCCAAAAACACAGTTATTGCGCAATCGTATCATTCTGTATTCTAGTGCCTTTTCTACAAAGCACAATAAGAAACGAAGAAGATCAATAATTGTGACTATTCTTAACATTTATCCTCACACTCGCTAAGAACGAGACCACTTCTACAATTTGGACGCAAGCAATGAGAAACATTAAATTCCAGCAGTATGCTATAAATCGTACAGAAATTCCATAATATTATTAACTTATAAGAGATTGCGAAGCGTGTAATGCGTAAACTTAGACGTGTATATATAATGAGCCTAATGACAGAAGTGTAGAAGCACGGTTAAGTTTACATCACATGTCGTAAATTGATATGCCGGGAAAGCGCGTTTTTCGTAAGAAAAATAATGAAGAAGAAGAAGCAGCGAAGAGGTAGATCGGTGAAAATTAATGGAACGAAACGGTTTGTCGCCGAGAGCGAGCGACATCTGGTCAATAGTGGGTAAATTTGCATTTTTTTTAAATTCCATGAAGAATATGTCATTAACAAAGAGTGAAATATGTGTTTTGACAAAGAGGCAAGAAGATGATGAGCGCGCGATCAGTGATTCAAAGCGAAATCGCTGGTCGATCGATTCATGTTGGAAAAGCTTAAGGATAAGTATACAGGGGATATGGCAGATAATAGAGGTAGGCAGGAAGGGAAAGGGGCAGGGTGGGTTTTTACGTGCACAAGCTAATGTCGCATCGTTAACGTCTCGCGATCTCAACTGGATTTACGAGCCAAGGCTAAAGTATAGCCGAGCGCTGCTACTTCCTCTTGCGAGATTCTCTCTCTCTCTCTCTCTCTCTCTCTCTCTCTCTCTCTCTCTCTCTCTCTCTCTCTCTCTTTCTCTCTAGCAGCGAAGAGTGAGAGTGAGATGAAGAATTTATAGGCGACGACGAACGCGCCATTATACCCGATACTCAGTCTCTTCTCTTGCTCAAACTCATCACCCGATGCTCCTCGCTTGCCACAATCGCAGCCCTTGGCTGCTTCTCCGTTCATTGCCGCGATTATTAATCAAGCTGTATTCGGTATTCAACTTGCCCAAATTGACTGCAAGCTCTGCGACGATCGGCAAGTGAAATCGACGACACGTCGACGTTCGCATTTTCCGCTATGGAAAAACAGTTGGCGCAAACGCGCGCCGACGATTGACGCGATGCAGCTGAGGACGGTGAAAGATAGGCCGGCGAATGATGCCTAGTAGCTGGAGAAGGCAGCCTGCTGTAAGCTGTTTTTCGGGGATCGTCGATAAAATTTTATCGTCGAGGAATTCAATGTCGCGGCATTAGGCCAAGAGGCGAGGGAATTGGCGAGCGTGAGAGAGAAGCGATCGGATAGGAGAAGAGCCGGCGGCAAGAAGTCTGCCAGCCTCGTATCTTCCGATTTCTCCAAAAAGAAGAGGCCACGAGCGAAGCTTAAGCTTCTTTCGGAAGAAGATGTATTGGTGGAAGGGATGGACCAGCGGTTCTTTCTGTCCTTTCATCTCTTTTCCTATAAAAGACTTCACATTGATAGAGCGCTGGCTCATTACAATCGCTCATAGTTACCGCTAAGGTGAGTGCGACTTGATATCTACACGTATACACTTTGCCGTTTTTGCCATAGATAGGCTCCTCGTTCTGTTCTTTCATTCTACCTCTTCGTTCTTTTCTTCCAATCACGTCCACGCGAGTGTTTCAAAATATCGACTCTTCGGTTTCGCATTTTCCATCAAATTCAGGAATAAGAGTAGAAATTCAGTGCGATTGCGAACTCAAACGATTGCAAAGTTCGATGTGAACGAGCTGCAACGAATTTATTTAAACTCGCTGCATTCAGCTCATCTCCTATTATCAAGTGGATATGATTGGTAGTGGATTTTATTGTACAGTGGCTAAATTAAGTTATTTGTGTAATTTTTCAATTCATACAATTTTTTATCGACACCTTTGTATTAAATTTTTAGCATTAATGTTTCAATTGATTGATTAAGCCTATAGTAAGTAGACCTTACAGTAATAGAACAGTTACATTAACAAATTACATTTTATCGGCCATTCAGTATGGAACCTAATGCCTAGTTTTTAAATGAGAAACCTTTAACTGTAACTTATATAAAATAGATTTGAAATCATAGGTTCCAAAACTTTTAAGCGACTACAAGCACGTTGCGACACGTACTTTTATGAAATATTCCATACACATTTAATAAACTACGTGTATTTCGGCAATAAATATAAGGCGATTTTGGTTGTTATCCAAGTTACAAGTTGTTCAAGACAAACTACTTTTTTTTCTAAAAACGTCACAATTTATCTTGTGTGAATATCGATGGAACTTCGTAATAAACTCCTAAAAATTCTTCTAAATTGATAAATCACATATAAAAATAAAACCAGTCGAAACCAGTCTTACAATTTTACTACGGTTATCTATAAAAAGATCGGTGGAGTAATAGTTTCATCGTCTAGCAATAAATTTGCATAACTAAAGTGTCTTTAGTGATGTATTTGTAGATGCGATTGACAAGTTTTCAATTATAATTATCATTAATTTAAATTTGCGCCTGCATACCTACATATTATCTAAGTTGCCCAGAGTCTTAATTAGGTAATATTACAGTTCTCCAATTGAAATTGCGCAATTACTCAACTTATATCAACATAAATCTTAATAACGTATTACTAAATATTAACTGGTATTTAAATAATGTAGTTTTGAAAAATTTGCGTAGGTTGATCGATATGATTAAATACTGATAGAAAAAGCGTAAATAATCAGTGAAAGAAGTTTAATAAGCATTAAAAAGCAAATAGTTAATTGAATACATTCAAATAGAAAAACAAAGCATTGAAGATTTATAGTATTAAAATAGCGATGAGCGAACGAAGAAATCCAATGTGGTTGCATCATACAACATTGAAATTCGAGAGTGCCGAAGCTGATCGGAAGAGCAAGCGAATAATTTGTTTGACGATAAACTAATTGGCATTTGCGTGTACTTCTGCATAGCAGATCAATCGGTCTTATTGAAGGAGCAATTGCCAGGGCAATGAAACGGAATGACGATATATAAAGATCCGTAAAACTGAAAAAGGTAGCCGAAAGCGAAGAGTGTTAGGCAAAGCTGACATCGGCACTGGTACGAGGCGTTGGCTCATCGCACTTGTAACGCGTTGTTTTCCGTGTGGCGCGCGCGCGGAATCAAAGAGGCGCATAGGCCGCAGTGGAAGAGAGAAAAAAAGTCCGTCGTCGATGTCGCAAGGACGACTTTCGAAAATTGGCGGGCCTCGGGCTCACACAGAGGCAAGCGGGCAGCGGGTAGCGGTCGGGGCGGTCGGCGCCGAGCGGTGGGAGCAGCCGGAACATAGTTGTATAAGACGTGCGCATAGCGCATCTGTAGCCGAGCGGAATTCAAATAAGCGCACGCGCTCTTGTTCCTCAAATAAGTGCTCTCCGTAAACACAGCCCGGACGAAAAATCCAGGGCACCGGGCAGCGGCTCTGGATTTTTCGCCCGGATTAACACGCCCAATAGCTAATCATTGCTTTCTATTTTGCTGATTATATTTTTAACAAAAAACTTAAAATTCAACCCGTCTATCGTGGGAGTAATGTGATACCGGTGAACGTAGATGTACCTGAGTCACTGTTTGCTTGCGGCGGTACTGCTGGCCGTTGTTTCTGCATCGGTCGAGGAAGTCGAGAATGCCGAGCCGCTGGACCTGAAAGCCGAACCAGAGCACGCCCGCCACAAGAGGTTCATCGCCAAGAAAATTATCATCGGAAAGAAAGCTCTGTTGGTTGGTGGTGCGGTCAAAGTTGGATTGTTGGGCAGCCAACTGTCAGTATCGAATTACTTGATTCACAACGATTTAAAATTTAATACATGTAAGTTGACGAAACTTATGACCATGCGTTTGCACACAACTCAAGCGGCGGCGGCAGCGGCGGCGGTGGTTATGGCAGTGGTCTCGGCAGCGGTCTCGGCAGCAGTCTAAGCGGTCTAAGCGGCAAACTAGGCGGCCTGTTGGGTGGTGTCGGTAGCGGTGGTCACCCAGGTTCAGGCTATGCCCCCGGACCCATGGCTGCTAATGCCTGGAGCGGCGGTTACGCAAGTAATCACGGCTACGGTGGTCACAGCGCCGGCTACGCTGGCAGCCACAGCTACGGCCCTCCCAGGCCCAGCTACGGAGTGCCTGGACCTACCTATGGAGTGCCCGCCAGCAGTGGCCCGAGCAACACCTACGGTCCCCCCAGACCCAGCTACGGCGTACCTGCACCCACCTATGGAGTGCCCGCAGCTACTTATGGAGTGCCCGCCAGCAGTGGCCCGAGCAACACCTACGGTCCTCCCAGACCCAGCTACGGCGTGCCTGCACCTACCTATGGAGTGCCCGCCAGCAGTGGCCCGAGCAACACCTACGGTCCTCCCAGACCCAGCTACGGCGTGCCTGCACCCACCTATGGAGTGCCCGCCAGCAGCGGCCCGAGCAGCGCCTACGGAGTCCCTGCACCTAGCTATGGTGTTCCTAGCAACGCCGGCTACCATTATTAGGAGCTACTGTGCTCCTGCTAACTAAGTACCTTTCACCATTGATATTCCACTCAACCTGACCTTTGCTCTACCTTCAAATACGTGCTCGATCATCCTATTTCTTCTTCCTTTTCTCTACTCATATATCACATCTATCTCCACATATATTTGTTCATTTCATTTCATTTTTTCTTATCAACTTTTTTTGCCTCTGCGCACCAAACAAACAATTCATATATAATCATTACTACAAATATTCAGTTAGCCAGTATCGCTCATAATTCTATGCCCATCAATAACAGAATAGCTTGCAAGCAAACTTTATGTACTTAACTAAATCTCTTTCTTTACAGCTCTTGGCGAATTGATATGGAACAACTATGAATCATTGACAAGACTTGCCTGCCATTGTACATGTAGTTTCTAAGAATATTTCTCCACAATCTTTCATCAGTCGTCATTTATAAATAATATGTTATTATATATTTTTATTTATGTATGAGTGTTCAAATTATGTCTCAAGCAAGTTTTTTATTTCAAGCAAATTTTTTACATTTACTGATAAAAATCAGGTAAACCAAATGTGAGATGACAATCAACTTTGAAGACGCTATTGTACGTTCAATGGAATAAATTTTTACTACGTTGATATGTGCCATTCGAGATGGTTCAACAATAAGCTCAAAGCAAGCATTGTACATAAAAAAGCGAAATGCTATCTTGATTACTATTTGCAAAATTTTTATATTGTATTTGATTTTATTGAAAAAAGGGATAACATGAGTTGGATATATTTAAATTGAACGTACAAGCGCACATTATCAACATTTAATCTCGATAAGTTTTGAAATGAATGTTATGCATCCCATATTGGGTTATCTTATAAAAAGTATTTTGCTAAACGATTACATTTACACAGTCTGCGTGATCAAATTTTATTTATAAAAATGAATTTTTCACAATGTATACCTGAAAGCCGTGTGAAACAGTGTGACAAATTTTTTTGAAATGCATGGCATGACCACTGATATCAAGACGATCTAAAATAGAGCTACGATATATAAACATATATTGTCTTGTATAAATTTTGGAAAAATAAATGAGTGTGTTTAATAAATCTAATTTTATTATTCGCTAGATCGTAGCGAAAAATGGTCCATTATTCAAGTTCGTTACAATTAAAAAAGAAAAAATATTTCTCACCGTATTCTCCTGTCCCATATTTTTTCTCTTAATTCACATTAATTTAATTTGTCTCTCGTAATCAATGGCCACCTCAATACCCAAATGCTTAAGCTATAGTTAACTGCTATTTACTATTTGGATAAGCAATGAGCCAAAGATCATTACATTTAGTGAAATAACGATTTTTTTGATGTGGCATTATGAGAAAAAGTAACCAATGAATGCTAATTATCGTTGTTTAAAGTCAACAAATTCTACGTTTCGAACACTCAAAATTTATTTATTGTTCTATTCTACTGCCATATTACTATAATAGTTTTTCAACTATAGGTATAAAAGGTTATAGAGCTACTTACTTTACTTATTATCAATATAATAATTTCGAATCTCAGCGAAAATGGATAAAATCAAGTTAATCAATTCAATAGCTATGACAAATATAGTACGCTTACGTCTGGTCTGACTGTTTATGTACACTGCGTATTATATATCGTGTTATACATGGCTAATTTATAAATGCTATAAATTTATTTATTGGGCAAGTTATTTCAGAAATCAAGAGGATTCTAAAATATGTATATAAATTTATAATAGTTGCTTATTGCTATTCTCCTTGAATGTTTCATGCTCAATAAATAATAGGCTTTAATTAAACGGCTCAAACTAAAATTTAAGTGACCTAAATGACTTTAATAAGCTGTTACAATTAATATTACATATCGAAATATTGAAAAGATTCAATTTTGAATTACTCCGAGTAGCTGAGATTGTAAAAGAATCATTTGAAAAAAATTAGGTTAGATCTGGTCAGAAAATTTTCTAAAAAGAAGTTTCTTATTGACAATTTCAGTGATAGTCTGAAAGTGAATAATAATTGTTACGTGTCATATTTCCTTGTTGTTATTTTTATAAAGGTTGTATAGGATGTGATTGAAAGCTAGACAATTTTTAACTGTTTTTTTTTATATTATTTATGAGCTTTTTCAGATTTAATGAATACAAATAAGGTTAATATTATATACGAGAGCGCGAAATATGTGGAAGAAGTTAGTGAAAAAAAGAGTGAAACAAATAGATAGGGATCGGAACGATATATCTGGACGATGTGTATAAATCTGCAAGATCTATATTACTTGTGATTTTGAGCGTGCAAAAAACTGCGCATAGGATGTGATTTGTCGTTATAATAAGACTGATGGGATTTTGAAACGGCTGCAATGCTTGCAACTATAATGAAAAAATTACAATTGCCTTTCATTCAGATTTTGTAGGTGTGTATCCTGCTGTAAATCACTTTGCGTTAGATAGTAATTAAATTGAATGAATTTGTTAGCGAGCTGACGTTGACGGATGTTTAGCTGAAATCGAAATAATTTTACTTTTGGTAAAACATTGGAATGCCATTAAGGCCAGTTAGTTTCCTAGTGTCGAAACTTGAGCGCTAGTCTGCATTCATGTCTTGATTCATGTTTTGGGACTCGTTTGAATGAAACACTCGATGAACTCTGTGCATTACAAGAAGAATAAACGGTGAAACTTGCGTTTGTGACGACGTTTCCTTTTCCACTTGAAAATGGTCGCTGTAAATTTTCAGGCAAGTTGCCGTAAGCTGCTGCAGCTCTGACTGGGAACGACTAGGTAATGGAGGGCAGCTTCAACGTTGATCTTTCCTGCAGGCGAACAAAGCGATATCGAATGAGAAGCACGGGGGTATAAAGATTGCGCGAAGGAAAAGCGGGTGGCGTGGATGGGCCGAGGAGCGCAGCATTAGCCTAGAAAAGACAGCAGCAGCGAGCTTGAGGCATGCGGAATTGATGAATAGGTAACACGTGTATTACGTTGTCGACGGGTAACGCGGGCGTTCGCGCGCCATATCACCAGGCCGAAAACTAATTGTCAGGCAGCGCGCGGACGCTGCGTCGCTTGATTGTCGCAATAGTGAGGACATGCGCCAACTAACTTGGAACTTTTCTCTGTCGCTCGCCTGCCTTTTCTCCCGCGACATTTCTCTTTGATGCCGCGCGTAGCTTGGTAGGGGATAAGTACGCTTTGCTTTCGCACTATATAATCGAACGGCTCGCCTTGATCGATGTCACAGTGCGATTAAGCTCCTCAACTCGAGCGCGCTTCACAAGTTTAGTGCAGCTTCGACGTTTAGCTTATCAGCTTCAACGCTTCTTCCAAATTCAATCAAGGTCAGAACCGTTTCGCTACCATTTCATTTCGACCTCATCCTTCGCGCTCACGACTACTCTCGCTCTCTCTCTCTCTCTCTCTCTCTCTCTCTCTCTCATTTGTGTTATTCCCTAACCGATATGCTGATTGAAGAAACGCCCGTTGTTTTCTATGTGCAGCGCATTCGAGTACTTGTTTTTACAGTATATCCGCTGGATATACTGCTCGCTCATCATTACTAACTCGAAACTGAACTTTCAATTCCACGATCAAATTTAAACTCTAGCAATTCGGTCAACAGTTGCGAGTCCACAGTTGCAATAACTCCATTAAGCTATCTAGTTCTGCAGAGCTTGCAATTAATGCTATTACACAAAGTAAAAGTGATTTGTCACTTTCAATCACTAATTTATAATCCGAAAATCAGAAAATCAAGTGAAAACACGTGTGTCATTCTCTAACACTAATCATTTTGACAAAATATTCATTAGGAATCAGAAAGAGCGTGAAGCTATTCAGTTTCTATTACGTTTTCCGTTGCTATTTTTTTAAAATCGCCCAGTCATTTATATATTTGGTGTAATAATGCAAGCATTAATTGCAAACGACAATTTTTCTTTTATCGTTATCAAAACATAGTACCTAGATAAAAAGAACAAATCATAGAACTTGCAAGACTAGTAAAGTGTAGCGGAAATAACTAAATAGCTGCGACGAGTTGCCATTGATCGCGGAGTAGCGAGCAAGTTCTGCCGGACGAAACTAGTTTTGTGAAACTATATCTAATCATGACAAACTTCATATCACGTACCTGCTTGGCAAGTTTATGCATGCCAAGTACGTTATACAATGACTAACTACACTTGACCCTTGACGTTACACTGCGAATACACGCAACCGAGTCTCAGCTTGTGCAGGGACAATACTTGATAAGAGTAGCAGAAAAGAACTGATTTTTCATTGAGGCAAAGATGAGAAATGAAGCGGCTGTAAGCATTCGGACCGAGAGTGCGATGTTACTAAATGATCAATGTTGCATAACTCGGTACAGATGCAGTACTGGAACGTGCTTTTGGCGGCGTGTGGCTGCCTGGTGGTGTTAGTGAGCTCCGAACAGACGTTGCAGCAGCAGCAGCAGCAGCAGCAACAGTTGCAGCTGGAACCCATGGGGGAATCGCTGGCTGAAAATGATGGATCGCAGGCACACAGCCGAGCAAAGAGAACTCTATTCCTCAAGAAGAAACTGATTGGGGCCGGTCTGCTTGGCTTTGGTCTTGGTGCCGTCAAGGGGTGAGTGCAGGCTCCATGCCCCGTGGGCGCTTTGGCCGACGCATCATACGCCGTTCTAAACGAGCTGCTCGTTTGTGCAGGTACAAGTTCGGCTACCACAGTGCGCCGGAGGTGCACCACGTGATCTACGCTCCCCCGCCACCAGCTGTAAAGTACGTCGAGTTCGTAGAGAAGCCAGTTTACTTGGAGAAGCCAGCGTTCAAGCCACACGTCGAATACGAACCGGCCTGGTCACCTCCGGAGCCCTCGCCCGTATATGGGTTAGTACAGCTGCGGCTGCTCTGTTCTCTAGCACGAGCCAGCACTCATGCTACATCAGCGCCGTGCTATCGACCCGACAAACACACTCTCGCTTTCGGTCTCCCACCTGACTATTTACTCCTCTCCAAATCCCATTTCGTCTCTGCGGCTCTCTCTCTCTGTCTTTGCTATTCCAGTCTAAAGACGACACCTTCGCGACCAGTCTATTCATTATTGTTTATTCGATTTGCAGTTTGCGTCAATTTCTTCACTAAACATTTCAAGCACTTTTCAAATGCCTACAGGAGCACTTGTTTTTCCGCGAAATACGCACCGCGTCGCGATAGCTGAAAAACCGGGCAAAAGACATTCCGCGCGACTCTATAACAGTCTCACTTTCACTCGTCTCATTTCTGCGCATCGAATGGAACCCATTGCCGCGCCATTATTATTATTTCCTACATTCTCGCACATTTATCCTCGTATTTCAAAGTTTTCCTCAAAAGAACAATTATTTTATTCGGCTATTGACAAAAATGGCAGATTTACGCTGCTGCTCCGGAAAAGTCAATTTCTCAGAGCGGATTGCCATATTATTGACATTAAAGTATTTGTTTTCTATTCCAGACCATCGTGGTAGCTGGCCGCATTGACTTGCATTGGACTTCGCTATCGATTCAGGACGACCTCAATGCTCAGTCATCGCACTCAAGACTATATAGCTACTTACTTAGGAATCAATTGTTGTTTTGTTATTAATTTTTATAATAAAAAATAAAATAGTGAAACTAATAGCGTGTAGATGATTTTGAAGCCATACACATTATTCTTAGCTATCGAAGGCACCAAAAGTAACGATCAAAAGTAAAAAGCATTAAAGCACGAGGCACGAGGTAAATATTTACAGTTCATCTTGTTCTTTTGCCAACAACGATAGAATAGAATCAACACTCAAACGCTAAGATGTATCTTATTAGTTCGGGTTTTAAGAGGAGCGTATTTACTTTCCAAATGTCTTGAATCTATTTATGTAAGTGATGACAAGTTGTCACAGAAGTGATGTACTCGTCATCGGCGTGATCACAGGATACTATTTCTTAATATCCCTTAAAGCGTTAGGCTAGCGCGTGGGCCATCTATCTTGACCAAACGAAGTTAGGCGAAACTTGTTTGTCTTTCCTCGCGAAATCCTTTGATATGTGTCGCGCGTATATAATTAAAAAAAAGTCGAGTGCAGCGTCAAGGTCCAGGCGCCGCCGGCGCCTCCTCGAGTTTGGCGTTGTTGTTATTACGATTACGTGTTAATCTTGAAGTCCACTTGCTCTCGTTTCCTCGCGAATCCACGTAGATTTTTGAATTTGAAGAGCCAGCGAAATTGGCACGTGTGCGTACGATTATGAAATGTGTGAGTTTTACTTGTCTTCTGGCAATGACTTCTTATTAGTACGGATGTGTTGCATTGTCAAGCAGCGATAGGAGGCGCGTAGATTAGAGACAAGTGGTGCGACGGGGACTCGCCGATATCCACCTACGCGCAATCTCTTGTGGACAATATCACCGTAGTACGCGCGAAGTGTACGTACTCGCATGTAGCTAATTGCGTTACGCAAAGTGGGCGCAGCGAGCGCGTCAGGCAGTACGTATTTCTAAACTGCTCCGGTAGAGCTGACTGCGCCTTGTCGCGTCGCCCTTGAAGCAAGTTAGACACAAAAGCGTCTACATTCTTCGCTCTATGATGAAGGTGGAGTCGCACGAGAATACTAGCAGCCGAGACAGACGTGCCAAGGATCGCAAACACTATGCTGCGTCGATTCCTCTCTTTTCATTGGTTCACTCCTGCACGATATTCAGATTTGCTGAATATTTCAGCTGGCGCCTATCGAGTAATTATACCCGAACATTCGTGTGGCGCGTTTTTTAGATGCATATTACTGGAACGGACTAGATTATGATATTGTAGACCGCGAACAAATGTCCGTAAAGCAATTTTCTTACTTTCTGCACCCCGTGAGCGAAATTCACCAGAGCTTTCAAACCTATACTTATACCTCGGCTTGCAAATCGTATTATCACCTACTTTTACAACTCGCTCACCTACTCGCACATCCTATACCACTCTTTTCTTCGCTTTCGACTTGTTCGCTCTCTTTCTCTTTCCTCTCTGAAATAATAACATTGGTAGGATACAAATGGCAGCTTTGTTCACCTCGCGCATAGATAATATCACTTTCAGTCATTAAGAACAGTTATTTTTAGGGGATCCGGACTTATTTGGGCTCAAAGCTGTTATTCAATCGGTGGCTTTGATCAGCCATGAAATTTTTGCAAGCAAAGAAAGCGATGTTTCCATATGAAGCCCGTGTACTTGCACTTGCCGAGGGCAGGTATCGCGTATTCGTGACGCTTCCAAAGTCACGTATTACCGTATGTGTAGATATAATCAGCGTCACTTTCACTTTTAACGTTTTTAAACTGCGTTGATGCATTTTTCTTTCAACACGTATTTCTGTGATTTCGTTATGACTAGACGTGACACAAATAGGTTGTACAGAAATATTCACTTAAACTTATTTCAAGGCTACTGATATCAAAAATTATTAAAATTGTGATTACATTTTTATATCGTAACTAAAAACTGCACAACCAGATATCGGTAATATTTTTTTTAATTTCGAAACTTGTTTGTTTGTTTGCAATCGTATCTATTGACAGTCCACCGAATATTGCCAATGGACGGCCGTATGAATACTCTGAATAAGATTCGATCGCTCCAGTTCAGCGTTTGTTCATTTAAAACATTCGATGCATATTTTAGCGTGCATTCATCAAACAATTGCCGTCGATTCGAAGCAAACTTTAGGCAGCAAACTTTTTTTTCAGAAAAAGGAAAACAAGCTATTTTCATTGTGATCTTTCTTGCTGATAAAATTTTTACAATAGTATGATGATTTTGATCTTGAGATAAATCAAATAATATTATTCAGTTTGTATGAAAATTGAGTGAAAAATAGAAAAATTGCACAGCAATTTACATTGAATAATTGTTAAACAATATCCCTGTTTAATATGAAATTTATCGTTGATTCAGAATATACGTATATAGTTAGTGAAAGTGAAACGATGAGTATTATTTCTTGTTGGAAGATTTTGTTTGGTTGATTAATCGGTCTACATCATAAACAGTGAATGAAAATACAAGAGCGATAGTTAAGCTCAGCGTACAGCTTAGATATTATTCTTCTTCTTTAGTACGTACTTATGTTTGCAGGCATCTCGTGCATTAGTAAAAAGCACTAGATATTTATATTGTTTTCATATATTTATGGTGTAGGTCACCTCCTTAAAGAACGCCTGTAAAAAATTATCGCGGGAACATGTTTTTTTCCATGAAGCATAACTTGCGACCTTGTCTATATTAAATCAAGTAAAATTAAAATAAATCTATTGTATATGTATAATTATAGTAAATTGATTTCTGTGGATGATAATATTATGGCGGTTAATGACTGTCAAGTGGGAACAGAAATTATCGAAAGACATTAAGACTCTCACTAATGTATACGAACAGTATATATAGTAGATCCGACTGTGGTTAATAGTAATCAAGAATAAGGTTTGCATAGACCAACTGTTACGGAATACTTATGGCTGATCTGGTAACTAATTCTTTTCGAAAGAAAGAAGTATTCAAATACGTCGACGAGCAAACATACAAAATACACAGAACAGATGGAGAATGTATAATTTTGAAAGACAGTCTTTAAAATATTTATGACGACAAAATTTAATGGTCGCATTTTAAATATATACAAGGTTTTACATATGCATGCATTCTGATAAAATATCGTTGTATTTATTATAGAGGTATTGGAAGCATGATTCATGGCTGGTAATGCTTGTATATGTAAAATGTTACAGTTGCGGCGCCTATCGTCATGAAAGCAAACACGCGAATTAGCGATGTTTTTACTGTTCGGAAAGAGAAGGTGCGAGTAGTGTAGCGAAACGCAGATGAATTTGAAAGTGCAAATTGAAAAAAGGCAAGTTGTATGCCAAAAGTACATGGAAAAGAAGAGATTTGCTAATAGCAAGAGGCGTGTCCGACAAGCGTTCGCAGTCGTGACGAAGATATTCGTGCGAGGCTGAAATCTCTGGAGCGGAAGGTGCTGTCGGAAGGTTTTTCGGATGCCTCATTGCGAAGGAAGCGTAATCGGCTGAAATAAAGATGTATGCGAGGGGGGCGGCCTGCCGGCCAAGATGTCCTCTTTGCTCAAGTGGGAGAGAGCGCACCGACGCTCGTATATAAGTACCCGATCGCACGTTCTTGCTGTTGTCAGAAGTTCGCCGCATATCGCAGGCTCATCTTGCTGCTCGATCTTTCGTTCCATTGTTTGGCCAGTTCGTACAAATGCCCGCTGCGCGCTCGTCACTTCGTTAGCGTTCACTTGGATCTATTGTGTCATCTACTTTGCAAGCTCTCAACAAGCGTTTTCTCACCTACAAGCAAGGTAAACTCGTCCATTTCATCCTACCACCTTTAATCATTTTCCCTCGTCATTTCATTTACATAGGCCACTGCACTATTGCTTGCACAAAGTCTAGTACTTGAACATTTGGTGCAATCATCATTCTTTCCAATCGTACGTAGTGCGTCAGTTTTTTGGTTTCACTTTTTTCTACATTGCCAAATCTTCAAGCACCACGATGATTGGTCATTTGACATCCTGCGGCTGTCACTGTGCACAATCTATCTTGCATGTATGTCTTATGGGAACGGAAATGCAACATTTCACTAAATAACTCTTTCCATCTTGACACACATCTGGTTTTATATAACTTTACACTGACTGCATTTTCATTACATACTAATCTGTGCATTTTTATGACAACTGCATTGGAAAATTGGATCTGGATATTTAGAATTTACTGTGTGTCAACGGATCTGAAATGAGTTTTATTCATATAGATTCCATTTGTAACAGTATTTTTTTTATAAACTCTGTTTCTTTTCTGTTTTTTGAAATTAGATAGCTTAACAAGATTTAAAATTATGTTATTACTAAATAAATTGTTAACAATCGCACGTTTTTCTTATGACTAATAATGGAAATTTCAAGGTCACTAATTTTGAACAAAGTCGAGAAAAATGTACTTTGGCTAAGATTATTCGAGAAGATGTTAATGCATACATATGATGAGTAATCGATAAATAAATAATAAATAATAAAGAAAACATTAATAATTTGATAAATTGGCTTAAAAAAACACTGAGGATTTAATGCGAATTGCATTAATTACTACAACGAAACGTATTAAACATTAAACAACTGATATATAGTAAAAATAGTTCAATTGGAAATGTTAAAAGCATAATATTTAGTTAGTAAAGTAACGTAATCTTATTTTACAATATTATAAGGCATTCTTGAATTGTTTAGATGAATAGCAGTATTGTTTTCCTCTTGGTCTTATTGTCTTCGGCCATAATTTTCACGGAACTTGCCAAAGCTGATTCTGATATTGACCAACTGAAAACTCTCCAAGAAGTACACAACGTTGAAGAATTCAAAGGGGAGAATCCGGAAGCTGCGGTTACAAGAGATAAAAGGACTATACTATTGAAGAAAAAACTTGGTGCAGCGACCGTTGCATTCGGCTTAGGAGCGGGACTTGGGGCGCTCAAAGGGTAAGAAAGTACTTGAACAAATTAGAAAATTCAATACCTTTACTCTCGTGAATACTGCATATTACAAATAGATTTTCTTTTTATTTATTTTATCAAAGTGAGCGATATGAAATGATCAAAAATGCGTACGGAAGACGAGGGTACTGTCGGATTAACTGTTGAGTATAAGCAAGCATAGTAAACATGAGCTTTACTGTGTTGTTTCTCATTGAGTTACAATTACATTAAGCTTCAAATCCTTGAAAAATTGTAAATTTATTGTTGTCCGGGAGGATCGGTCATTTCTTGACGTAAGGATGATTTTATTCGAGAAGGCTGTGCGACCAAATTGACTTGCTAGTTTGTACACGTACGCGCGGACTTGGTAATTGTGTGAGTGAGTGAGAGAGATAGAGAGAGATAGAGAGATAGAGGGATTGAGAGAGAGAGAGAGAGAGAGAGAGAGAGAGAGAGCAAACTAAAAACGAGAAACGGGGAAGTCAAGTTTTATAATTTGGGAGATTATTCAATTAGTATTGTTTGGCGAGCGACGTTGTGGAAATGAGCCCTTGGTGGCGGGCGTTGCCCGCGGACAGTACGTTGAAAAAGCGCCGGGCGCATTAGCGCAGATCCCGCCTGCGGATATACTTGTATAGCACTGCACGGCGCTCATTATTCCGCGCATGACTTTGGTTAACGTCGCGCTGACGCTGCCGCCGTGCGTCTAGGCGGCAGCACGGACACGCGCCTCGCGTCATTCAGCGTCATTGCGCATCACGGATTCCGTGCTGTCGCTATGCGCGTGTCGCCGAAAGAAAGCCCGCGCGCGCTAAATACTGCACTTTCTTCTTTTACCCGTCTTTTCGCTTGCCTCGCCACTCGCCGCCGAATCGTAATACGCGTGCGGATTATAGATAAACGCCGGTAATCATCGCGATATTCACTTTTTACTTTCCGATTCCTGACAACAAGCTTTTCCTTTCTTTTCTTTCTGCCATTGTCACACACCTTCGCTCGACGTTTACTTTTCGTCGGCTAGACACTCGGAAATCGAGCCTACTTTCACGTTCGTCTTGAGCGTCTTTTCAAACACTGTACAAACCGCTTTTCAAATTAATGTCCCTTTCATAAAAATAGCTGAGCAGTCTCGACGCCACATATTTCACGGCTCATTCTATTCAATAAAATAGTTTGTTTGCATACAAATGGTTGGTGCAGTCTGGGACACAGTATAAGTAATTTGCTGGAATATTAACTGAAATGTTACATAAGATGACCGAGAGACGACAGCGGTTCAATGAATTCTCGCTGAGTGGTTAATTGTGGTAACAAAAATTGCTCAATGCTTCTCGAAGATGGGAATTTTGCGTTCGTTTCACACCTCCACGCGCATTTTCGAAGTGACTGCAAAACTTATTTATTATGCACAAGCCATAAGCGAGCGACCGCGTCCGGAAAAAGTTCTCAAGGCTTGGCTTCCCAAAGCTAGTAAGCATTGACGAAACGCAATGCGTGCAGGTCATTGCGAAAATTCGTATCAATTGTTTGTTCCGCTCACCGCTGTTGCTCGGCTTTTCAACTCAACAGAAATAACTCGCCGAAGAACGTATTTATTATGTTTTAAACTGATTGTCGTCGACGCACTGGATGCCGATGACGTGTGGCGCAACGATACTTTGTTCGCTGCACAGACCTAACGAGATCTGCTGCCAGTATGTTGCGGCATATGCTAATGCTACGTGCAAACAATTCTCTGCCACTTACACTATTCTTATCTTCTAACTTAGCATTTTTCTCAATTCTTTTCAACGCTTGTGCGTCATTTCCATTTGCACAACCTTCCATACATATTGACAGTTTTGCGAATTTGATGATTCATTCGTAAAGTGACTATATATACAGTATCTAAATTGTTAAAAAAGCTTTTATTTTGTCAATTTTAAATAATAGAATTCTGTGAAAAAACTTTTTTCGAATGCCCGATACGAAAGTTCAAATCCAACTCCTTTGCTTATGAAAAAGGTCTTTTAATACACTTGCTTGATTCTTAGTATTTTCATTTAACGATGAGCTTGATGATGGACTGAATAAATATGCTTGACAATCGACGATTGCTAATGAATAATTCAGAAAATATAAATATATGAACAAAAACTCGATAGGTAGCCTAAATTCCATTGTATTATCTTCATAGAATGTAGGTCAACATCTAGATGTTTGAGCGGTTTAGAATTTTAAAATATACTTCATTTATAAAAAGTATATTGCCTGAAACAATGTGCTTTCTATTAGCATTAAGACTTGATTGTATTTATATTACAATAAGAATGACCGCGAGCCTTTCTGCACGAACAACAAAAAAATCATTTCAAATAAAAATTATTATGCGGAGACGATTACAATTAATACAAAAATTTACAATGAAACTTGGACCAAAAGGTTAAAGAAAATCATTCTTTATAAAAAAGGAGTTGCGTACCTTGAAGATTGAATAACAATTTTTAATTACATTGTTGTTCTTGATCACTGGGTCCATGATAATGGTTACGGAAATTGTTGTTCCATCTTCCCGAGTCCAAAATCTTTAATGTTTACAATTCAAGATTGACTGAAACCATTTCACAAATATACCCTGTTTTAGACAACAAATATTTAATATGAAAAAGTAAATGTACTTTATGACAAGCATTATCAGGAGACAGAGGGTCTAACGGTACAAATAGTGACTTTATATAGGATTCTATATATTTTTTCTAATTCCGCGACTATTTATCGAGTTATTATCTACTATTTAAAGTTTGAAAAAAATACCTAAGATTGATAGGTTATACTTGAAATTTAATATTTAGCAAAAGATTTCTAATTAATGCACTGGAAGAAACTTGTCAATCGTATATATTTTTAAAAAGAATAGAATTATACGGCTATACCATAGAGCCAGCGAATTACATCGATTAATGAGCAAGCATTTCGATGAATGAATAAGCAACTGCAAAGTTCAATAACATAAACAAGTAACAAAATACCTTGAGCAAGAATCAAGGCAATGCTTAATTGCTTTTAAACGCTACATAGACAGTAGCGATCGAATTGTAGAAGGTGGAGAATGCAGATGGAGAAATGAATAATACGTGACCAATTTTTTCCGAATAGCGAGTTAATAAATATATCATACTTCGAAATTGAAATTCCTATAATCAGTTTATTCGAATGTGCTCACTTCTGTCGATAGAGATAGGTGCCTATAGCTAAGTTGTTAGAGATTGACATTGAGAAATACATCAATAACGTAATTAAAAGTAGTATTCTTCATTTTTTAGGTACACATTTGGGCGGGGTGGCTACGGTTACGGCGGGGGCTACGGCAACGGCTACGGCAATGGCTACGGCAACGGCTACAACGGAGGGTACGGTAGCGGCTACGGCAACGGCTACGGCAACGGCTACGGCAACGGCTACGGCAATGGCTACGGCTACGGCTACGGCAACGGCTACAACGGAGGCTACGGCGGATACGGAGGCTACGGAGGAGGCTACAACGGTGCTTACGGTGGATACGGAGGTTCTCGCCCATACAGTAGCTACCAAGGCTACGGAGCCTATCGCCCCTATAATAGCTACGGATATAGTTACACCGGTTTCAAGCCAAGTTACAACTACAACTCGTACGTATATAATCATTGACATCTTATTTATTGTCTTATTATGCGGAGACGATTACAATTAATACAAAAATTTACAATGAAACTTGGACCAAAAGGTTAAAGAAAATCATTCTTTATAAAAAAGGAGTTGCGTACCTTGAAGATTGAATAACAATTTTTAATGATTAATTAAATTAATCATTTTTAATTTTTGACTCTAATTTTAATGCAGCAAATAAGAAGGCTGTAAATGTTAAAATGATAATTGCAGAATCACTTAACGGGATAGGAAGGGAGGGGGGATTGGCAAGTATAGTGCCTTATAGAAATTTTATTGAGGCAGTCTTGTCTCTTCAACTTCGACAAATCAACTTTGACATGTAACAATTTCCAACATTTATCAGCAAAACTTCGCAAATCTTTTTGCTTACTATCCAAGATGATCAACCTAGATGATCAATTATTCCGTTATTAGAAAGTACTCGTTTTATAAGTTTTAGTTGAGTCGGGTAGAAACTAAAGTCGAAGGAAACTAAGAAAATATCAAAACAGTCCCAACTACTCCTGAGTTTTTTTTAATCAGTTCGCTGAACAAATACATTTCGACAACGACACGCAAAGGTTTTTTCTGTAAATTGATAAATCAAAGAAATTATAATTCATGCGATTCAGATCCACTAACATGTCATACGAGATATGTATTGAATATTAATAGCTTAAAATAAGCCTTGCTTCATAAATGATATTATTGTAATGCGTGTAACTTAAACACAATAATTTTATTAGCGGATACAACTATAACGGATACAACGGATACAACGGATACAGCGGTTACAGACCCAACCACTACAATAATTACAACTCTTATGTAAACACAAATCAGCCTTTACAAAGTCCTTATTATTATGTGAAAACATACAACGGATACAATAATGGATATAATAACGCGGGATATGGATGGAACAATGCCAATAATAATTATGGATATGGCAACCTAGGCTATGGATATGGATATGGCTACAATAATGCCAATAATTACCGATACAATAATATAGGATCTGGATGTGATTATCCAGTCAACTACGCTAATAGTCAAGCAAATAGCTGGAGTACAACTGGAAATATAGGACCCATTAGTGGTAGTGTGTCCACTGTGACTGCAGCAACCAATGGCTATGATCAAGGAGGGTAAGATTATTTAGCCGGTCTACGGTCTAAACTTCACGCGTTCTGATCTAATTAGTTTAACGTTTTATCTATTATTAATATATTTTTGGGTAAGCTTCATCAGCTCAACATAGTATATCAATTTCACTTTGCTTAATTAAAACAGCTACTTTCGCCTTATGTTCCAAATATTTTACAGCGCTACACTTTTCTTCAAACGGTAATCTGGGTAATATATTACTTTCTCTCCTGGAAGCCAACTCTGCAATTATCTATTAATATATCAAATACGCTTCGTAAACCTTAAATAACAATGTTTTCTATATAATTATTACAATTGAATTGAGTAAAATCGTAACGAATCTCGAAATTGATATAACAATATTTCAGAATAGTTGTTTTCAAATGTTCATTTCATATTAGAATTTCTTTTAACAACCGCAGTTTATTTATGTACTATACTAATGCTTCAATTTGGGATTCATTAATGCCGTAGATAGGTTAAACTAATCTTACTTTTAGTTTCTTTTAGTATATGCATACTCAGCATCTTTTAGCTTGTATACCACTTTTTGTACAGAGGATTTATGACTGAAATGTTTAATCTAGTTTAAGAACTTCAATAATTCAATCTAGTTTGTATATTGATAGGAATTATCTTTTACGTAAATTTATATAATCGTATGACGTATAATGTATGTTGTAAAAATTACGTTAATAACGCTTGATTTTGTTCTTCCATCACAGGTACTACTACTAAACTGTCCAGCCTTCTAACAATAAATTCACGCAGCAAGGGAGGGAAGAAACGTTACAACGGTGTTCCTAACATATCTCATTAAAGAAACTTAAGATACCTCATGTATCATAGATTATTTTATATTGAAGACTTTTGTACATACATTATTAATAGTAAATAATTAATAGTAAATAATCATTTTAATAACGACATATATTAATTTTTATTCCCTACTACTTTTAATTCTAGGTACAGTATATGAAAATCTATTCTTTTCATATAATATATTTATCAGGGTAGAGGTTGCATTAAGAAAGTAATAAATTATGGGGTATTAGTTTAAATTATCTAGTACTGCAAGTATAAGAATATATATGACATCAGTAAATTGAACTTATTTAATTACATTGTTTTAAGCTTACACTCTAGTGTAATATAACGTGGAAGTCAGCGTAGCGTTACTACTGCGAAAGAGTCTGACAACGCTCGGAGTGACATTTTTAAGAAGTTTCTCTAACGTAACTTTATATCTGACTCGTACTGACAGTGACTGAACCGACAAATACACTCTATCCCGAATATTTACAGCAACTAAATTTTATTAATAGAACCCAATTAATCCAGACTCTTACTGGATCATTAGCATGAGATTGAAAATGATATATAGATAGGAATCTTCGTTGGCAGATTAAACAGTCATTTTAACTAGATTCTTTTAACTTCATTTTTACCGTTATAGTTGTTTTAAAACAGCATTTGTTCGAATAAAATTAATAATAACGACAATAAATTAAAAGATAACTAAAGGAGCTCTTCCGAAATAATATAAAAATATAAAAATGACTTTTAATTAGAAGCAAAATTGACAATGTAAGAAATGCTGTTCGAAAATTACGAAATACGAAAAGAAAATGAAAATCGAAATTTGAGGGCGTTCCCTCTGAAATGAACAAATATGAAAACAAAAAGTGTCATGCTGTAGAATGATATTGCATTACCGTTCTTAAGTGTGCGCATATTTTTTATTCGAATTGACATCTCTCGGCTTATTTCTTCAAGCTCCTTCGTAATCCAGTGTAGTTATCTCGCTAGTCTAATGGTCGCAGCAAACTCCTGAATTACTCTATTTAGCTTCCTTGGAGATGAAATTTCGTTTTCGCTTTTTTTGAAAAATTTTTTGCTGAAATGTTTTATAATCGTTATTATACGCTTGAACTTTGGTTTATTTCAAACCTCGCGTATGTTATTAGATAAGGGTTTTCTTATAATTTTTTATTAGAAATCATGGGGGAGACGATATGTTATATTTTTATGGCATCTGTCCTCATGGGAGTGTGATATAAAATGGATTCTTATATGTTTAAATTTACTGTTCAACGTGAATAAATAATTGTTAAATCAGTTTGATGACAAATATATTATTTATTCAATAAAATAGCAGAGTTAGGTTGCTTTTTTATAACTAAAAAACAAAGCAGATAACTAAATTTAATAATCAAAAGATTAACAATCGATAAACTAAACACAAACAGTATAGTAAAATAATTAAACTTAACAGTGTGTGTGTGTGTGGGTGTGGGTGTGCGTGTGCGTGTGCGTGTGCGTGTGTGTGTGTGTGTGTGTGAACTCGATAAACTTTTACGAATTCATATATTTAAAAATGTTGGAAGGTAGGTAAATCATATTATTGTCAAGTGGATTGAGTGAATAAAGTAAAAGTAAGGTGTAAAATTTATATGGATAAAGTGTTCCAACTTTTGATAAATAAATGATTTTTGAACCCGTGACTACTATTTTCAATCTTATAAAATAGGTTGTCACATGATTGATTCGATAAGATACAGCTCAAGGTATTATGTAGTATTTCAAAGCAATCCTCTTTTTTCGAGTATATAAATAAAGTGGACCTTATCTAATATGATCAGAAACGAAGTTTTATATTTTTATAAGCAGTTTTGTTTGTTTTTGCATATAAGAAATGTTATTCTCGGTACTAGAGCTATTTAAAATGATATAATAAACACGCTTTGCAACTTACTTAAGCTTATAGTATGCGAGGTTTGAAGACAAGATTTCCAAAAAGCTGTTTAGTACAAGCACGTCAGATTGGATTCCTCAGTCAGGATCTGACAGCTTTTCTCAGACACCTGGTAGCAAAATGTTCTACAGCCAAATTCGAACCTGCAGCCGTTCATAGATCCATTTCAACCGCGACCATTAAGAATTACCTTGTGCTTTCATTATTCCTTATAAACATTGCTAGAAAGTTTTGCCTTAAAACTGCGACGTTACATTGCGATGTTCACATTATAGAATATCAGCGCTGCAAATCAACAAACGAAAAATGTACTTCTCTCGGAATCGTATGGATGTGGTAACAAACAATCTTAAAATAAAAACTTCGAAATGCACCAGTGAAAAATTTTGTAATACAGCCAAACACAACTTCTGAATCATTTTCAGGTCGAGCGTGAATATTTATAAGATGACATGAGTTGATGAAGTAACGAATTTAAAAAAGGTTGTAAACATTAATTCATACTTTTATATGTAACGAATGCATATACATAAAATGCATTTAAATCGTCAAATGTGGAAGATATCAAAATTTTTTTGGGTTATGCGTATATTATTTAAAAAGGCACACCCCCATATTGTAAGTAATTTATTAATAAAATAATAAGTAGAAAGGAAAATGAGTTCATCCGACGAATCTACAAATGAAGAAGAAATCTTGAGAGATATTGTTGGAGAAGCTAGGTTGATAATATTTAAGGAAATGTTATCCAAAAAATCTGCTGACAAATACATATATGTTTATCGATGAAACTTATCAGGGATGGAGATGAGATAATAAAAGTTCTTTATCAAACTCAGAAACAAGCATGTTAGTTGTTTACTTTAATGCATTAAGTTAACCACTCTGTAGAGTAATTGGTCTATGTTGAAAAAAATAATGAACATAAGAGACAATATTGATATTAGATTTGGAAACTTGAAAAGTATATTGAAAAAAATGCCAAAAGTTAAACCAAAGAAATCTTTAGTACTTAAATGGGATGGAATCATGAAATTTATAAAAGAAGAACTAATTTTATATATTTAGTACTAAAAATTAACGAAGATGTTGCTAAAAAGTGCCAAAAATCGTCTTCGCAATGCCTTGCAAATTCACTAAATAGCTATTAAATTTTTTTCTAATGAGTATTAAGCCTATAAATTGATACACATACTCTCGAGGCTTTATTAAATAATGTAGTATAAACAAATTTTTAATTTTCAAAAATTTACAACAGATTTTTGTCGATGAAAGTTATGAATTTTAGTAATTTTCAGGTTACAATTTTTTGTAGACAAATAAATTAGATATGGAATTCGGTTAAAGACTATGAGAAACTAGATAATTTATATTATCTAAGTAATCCTTATGGATTACTTCCAAATTTTTCCGCTCTGATTCATCAATAATTTTTTTATAACGAGCGAATAGAAAACAAAATGTATTTTTGTAATCATGCTGCTACTCGAAGTTAAGCACATGACAATAGAACCACCTTATGTTGGAAAATGAAATAATATTTTGTTTTTTGCTTATATTTGTGATCCGTGCTCCTGACCAGCAGCACTCGCTTCTCTCGTGTTGGAAATGTCGGGGAGAAAGAGAGAGACAGGAATTATGTACTTCACAAATAACTGATAGAGGCGCTGCATAAAAAGCAGAAGTTACGCATAGCTCTCAATTGAAACGCGGTATTGTAATTAATATTCAAATAATTATACGTACTTTCGACCGAGATATAAAGAAAAATAGCATACACCACACGAGCAGAAACTTGAGATACCTGAACTGCGCGAAATGATGTCCGAGGCAAAGCCGAGCAGTAGGAGTAATCTCATTGTAGGAATCTCAAGTTTTCTGCTCTTATAGTGTAATATACTATGTATATTTCGTCAGTTTTTTCATTTATTTTTTTTTTTTCATTACATATTTGAATTGTTTTCTGTTGTATGAAAATAGATAAAATAACATTATCTTCTATTTTTAAGAAAGCATTCCGGCAGAACATCTGATACCGTCGTTCAATTTTATTTTAGTTATCGAGGACCTGCACATGTAATACAAAAGTTCATGGATCATGTTTCTTAATAGTAGCTGTTATATTTCTCATCTTTTATCAGAGTAACAACCATTATTTAGTAGACGAGAGTAACTTCGATTCCATAAATGAAAAAGAACTTATACATGACGCTTACAAAATATGTTGATAGTTCAGGCGATATTAACCGCTTTCTATTAAATTCTCTCTAGAGATCGGCATCTACTATACCTACTTCAGCTGAACATCATTGAGAAAGTATTTACTGATGGATGTACAGCTGAACAAATCATTCTACTGAAGAGAACAGGAGTCTTTCCTTTTCACTAAGTCTTGTCAGTGGTACAGTTAGAAGACATAGAGATACGAAGAAAAGATCAGTAATTCTTCAACATACTGAAGATTGACTGCATGAAGCAGACTACCAACTCGTTTACGGAGTATTCGAATTTGTATCTCAAAACACGTTTTATTATTGGCTGACATTTTTAGAAACATTCGAGATAATCTTTTCGATGCTTATGGATTGAGTACGGAACGATACCTTGTTCATCCTGGGATGCTCTGCTCAAGCATACGATAACTTCGGTGTATTTGGATTACGAGATTTACACGCATCAGCCCTGTTCATCATCATTGTACAATAGCAATGATAAGATTCACATTTCTATTTAACATGGAAATCGGTTCCTTTTATTATCTCACAGTTCTATTTGTATATGTGACAGAATCATTTAATTATACGAACCTACACTAGTAAAAGATAGATATACATAGTTCATTATCAATACCATCTTTCATCTGTACATGACATTCGTTTCGAATATGTTACCTAAATACAATTAGGATTGATCGTTCGAAGAATGTGGTACTAATCTTTTTCAGCAAATATTGGAGCTCCTTCATTTAGAGTCGTGATTAGATTTTGAAAATGTAGGATGGATAGATGTAGAAGAATGAAATTCAATAAGCAATGATACATATTACTCCGGCGCTACGCTTCCTTTGAGTATACTTTTGGCTTTTGTCAAAGACTGCGTAGTCATAATAAACGTAAAACA